ATTGTTCCCTTCTATTTTCTTTCAGCAATCTAAAGTGATGGACCTGAAATTACTAGACGAGAAAACCTGGGGTTCGTGACTCAGAAGAACACTTTCTGCACAAGCTCTGTACTTCTTGGGCCATGCAGCGCAATAGAAAAGTTAACCCAACCACGCAACTAAATCCTAGTGACATTTTCAGGAATCATCCCTGAATAATGACCTGCAAATCACATTCTAAATTGCAGAAAGATCCCCACATTTCATTATCCAATTGCAAACACACCAAAAATTTACAGCCTAACAGCTCTTAGATGCCAAAACGGTATATCAAAGGCATTTCAGGGGGAAAAAAAAAAAAAAAAAAAAGTTCTACAGTTGCTGTTTAGGTAAGAGAAACTTAAAAAATACCCTTGTGCTAAAAGCACTAGATATCTGAGCTAGCATCACTGTCCACACAACACAGGTAATTTCCCCTTCATCTGCAGGGCATGAAAGAGATATGAACAACTGCCCCTGCTATCTCAGTTCTTAGTCCAAAATTCACCCCACCTGATACAGCTCTGTAAACAGAGAGGGAGGCTAAGGAATCCTTTTGCTTTCTCTATCCCGCGGCTGCACGAATAAATAATGGAAAATTACTACAACTTTGTATTCCATCCACTAAGGAGAAGCTTTGTGGTATAAGCAGTAATGATTAAAGGCAAGACTATCGGTCACGATAAGGAGAGAATAAACTTTAATACCATAAATACGGTGACTTCAAAAATAACTGCTGATCGTGTAACTGCAGAACAGCCAAATTTCTACAGCTCAGTTTTCATCTAACATAGGTACTGTACCCAGTCCAACTATCAAGTTCCAAAAATTCTTGCCACCTTGCCCAAATTTTTTATCCAAAAATATCATCTTGCTTCTCAACATTTAAAAATCTATGGAAACAATGACTGAAACAATGTGACATTTCACAAGGACAATCTTTTTATGCAATATATTTATCATCAGCATGCAGGTTACGTGCACGTACAGTCCAGAAAGTCTGAAACAGCAAGATGAGACCTACCTACTATTTTACCTCTTTGGCTAACTTGAAAGGATAGCTGTGACCTTTTAAATAAATATATGGGGAAGTCTGATTATTCCACTTAAATCCTGTTTAAAACACATTTGAACGGAATTGTAACATATAAAGTAAGGAAAACACCTCTGAGAAGCTTGGCACTTCGTTACCTGCAGGACAGAAACATTTTTCAAGTTGTTATTCTGAGTTTTCTGTCTTACTGCGCTACCTTAACCGTTTTGCTGTGCAGCAGTTTCCAGCACCGCACATGAGGAATTACCGCCAGCAGCACCCGGGCAGTGAGATTTATTCCTCCATCAGCGCGAAGCAGTCAGGAGGAACAGCAGCCGCTTGCTGGCGGCTTCCCACCCGCCAGCTGAAGGAATAACGCGCTGGGCAGAGACCCCAGACCACCGCCCGCGGGAAGGAGCACCCGGGGTCAGAGCAGGTTTTCCGGAGAAGGACGATGCCGATGCCCCCCCCCCACCCCACACCTCCCCCGCAGACAACAACAACGACAAAACCCGAAGCTCGGCGCTGACTTTTGCGGATAACGGGGTAACTCCGCGACGTGCGGCGGAGAGCGGCGTTGTTTACCAACAGCCGGCGGGGCCAGGCGGGCTGCCGAAGGCAGCCGCGGGTTTTCCCAGGACACCGGAGCCGTCACAGCGATAGAGAAATCCCCTCACGGAAGCGCCGCTGCCAGCCCGCCCGCCCGATTAACGCCTTGGCCAGGGCCGCCCTGCCCTGCCCTGCCCTGCCCGCCCCCGGTCCAACCGCCCTCACTCCGCCTCGCCCTACCCGACACCCTCTCCCGCGCAGCGGCGGGGTGTCGCCCGGCGCCGCCGGGGCACTCACCGTGCGGGGGCGGCGGCAGGCGGGGAGGGCGGCTGCTGGCAGCGCGGCTCGGCGCTCGGCAGCGGCACATGGCGCGGCGGCCGCGGACGGGCGAGGAGGGGCGGGGCGGGGCGGCCGCGGCCAACGGCTGCCACCGCCCTCGCGCCTCCCGCGGCGCAGCCCCCGCCCCGCGCGCGCGGCGTCCGGCCGCCCTCAGGGCGCAAGGCGGGAAGGCGGCCCCGGCCCTGAGGGAGACCCGAGGCGCCGCCACGTCCCGCTTTCGAGCGTTGCCTCCCTCCGTGCCGGGGCAGCGGCACCCGGCAGCAGCGAGCCGGCGAGCGCTCGCCTCCCTGTTACTGCTACAGCCACTCCCGGCCCCCGTTCCAGCAGGCGCTCGGGATCGTCCAGGTGTTCGTAAAACGTCGAACGGGCATTGCCTGTACGACACAGGGGGTTGGGGTAAAAGCCCATAGTGCCTGTCCCTTTCTCACACCGAGCAAAGGAAGCATGAAGTAAAAAAAAAAAAAAAAAAAAAAACCAAAAAAACAAACAACCCAAACCCCAAAGACCTAGTCCACGGTGAAAAAAGGAACCACTGGGGAAAAGGGAACGCTAAGACTCACCTTGTCAAGGCTAGTACGTCAGAATAAAACGATTCTGCTTTATAGATCGATTTTTATATACTCCTCCATTACAAATTTAAGAGTGAACCATAAAGGTCAGTGGCAGTTAAAGTGCCCATTAACATTTTTAACTGAAAAAGTTGTCTGACCTGATAAAATTAACACTTTGGCGGGAGTACCATCACCACAATCTCATTTATTTTGTCCCCCAAGAAGGTGGCTGTTCACTCTGGAGATGTACATTTGTCACCCTTTTCTTTTACCCTGCCATCAGCACTTTTTTCTCATTGCATCTTAAGCAAGCGGAAGCATTTCCAAGTCACATTTATTTTCTGTACAAAAGAGAACTGGGAAGAGCCCCATTTTTAAAGGTGCTTTGGAGCAAGGGCAGCCTCTTCAAAGATGGAGTTGATGGCTTTTAGGGTGGTGGCTTGGGAGAAGGAAGTGCAGCAGGAAGAAGGTAAATGTTACTGAATAAGCAAGTTCATAAACTTACCTTGGGCTTCAGAAACTAATTGGAAACTTAACTGGTCTGTGCTGCTGCTCTTTCATTCACATTTAATTGTATCATCTTTCTATAAAAGGCTCTATTTACCGGACAAAGGATTTTTATGTTATTAGACAAAGAGCACATGCTAGACAATTCATATAATCAGGAAGTTGTCACTGATTTACAGAAGATATTTAACACTACATTCTAACAATTTTATTCTTTAAGTTAAAACATAAGGGGGGAAATGTCTTTTACAATGTGCTTTCATCCTATACTATATATAGATTTTTTTTAAAATCTGCAAACTCCTATGTTCCACCACAATCAGGACTCTCCTACCAGAGCTGGCCTATAGGCTTTGGATGCAATACCTGTAAGAGTTAGCACAAATTTCTATTCACTGAATCTACATGAAGCAGCCCCTAATGAGACATATATGGGCTTTATTCAATTGTGTTAGAGAATCTGAAATTTTTTTTTTTTTCCTGGGAATGCTAGCTCAAAGCTGGAATCAGTGTGCAAGCTCATGTTTTTACTCAACTACTTTCTGCCGGGTAGCCCAGGACAATTTAAGAGTCCAATCAGACTAGTCACACGTAGTTCTTAATCCTCTCCCAAAAGTGACCTGCCCAAATTGTGAAATACAACACAGCCTATTATAGAAACCCAGGTGCAAAACCAGTGACTTTCTGACCCCACTCCAGAGCAGTAACATCAAGTAAATCTCTACACAGAGGTCATCTGTCAGTAGTTTGTAACTTACTACAATAGCAAAGAAAACAGCATTGTCTGTACCTCTAGAAGCTTAACTAGTGTTCTTGTAGATATTTTTCAAGGCAAGCAGAGATTTTAAATAGTCTTTGCTTTATGGTTGGGTGGGGGTTTTTTTGTTCTTTTTTGTGATAGAGTGGCAGCATATGGAAGTGTGACTTCTATTTGCATATGCAAGAAAAAAAGACAAGCCAGTACAGCTTTAAATAAAACAAGGCATGAAGAACAGTAAAAGGTAAGCGAGCAGTTTCTTAGTAGCACACAAGGTGATATTTTCCCCTCCTGCTCTCTGGTTTTCTCCATAAAATGCATAGTCAATTCTGCAATAATAGCAAATCAGGAAATCCTGGAAGTGTGTGGGGAGAGACGTTCTTGCTCAGTATGAAGGAACTCTTTCAACTCTTTCTCCAAAGATAGAGGTGGTTTAAATGTAAAGAAGATCCTTAAAGTTGGTGTTGCAGAGTAAAAGTTGAAAGGTGTTTTTATTTCCTCACAGAAACCATTCTTCCTGCAGACAATGTTATCATGTTTAATTAATTCAGTTCACAGATAACAGTTCTCTAGTGATTTTCTTTTGTTTCTCCTAGACACTGTCATGGGTTTGTGGATCTCTAAACCTGAGATCAGGGTTCCCTTTTTCAGTAATGGTGTGGAGACACCCTCTCCTCACCACAAGTGAGTATCTGGCTCTTGCCTCCCCTTCCCTTTCTCACCATGTATCTTCACTGTCAGAAGAGAATGATCTGGGTTTACCCCAGAATCCTGAAAGTGGCACCAGATAGATAGTCCTTGCCCCGTGAACCTCCCTCAAATCCTGGCTTCCAACACGAAGAGCCTTGCAGCCTCTGATGCCTCCCAGAGATCTCAGTCTCCCACTTTCCACCCAGCAGCTTCTTCTTCCTGCCCTCTCTGAATCCAGACAGGAGTTGCTTTTCTGGCTTTCCTTAGCTCAGTCAGGTTTTGAGGAAGGAGGGGGAACATCTCTGCCTTGAGAGCCATCACTTCATCTGAAGTATAGTCACACATCCTAGGGGAACGAAGGACACATGAAGTGATATTCTTAAGACTTCCCACCCCCATATTCAGTTTGGCAGCTGTAGGCCATAAACAGAACTTCCCCACTTCATGACTTTAAAATACACAGACATGAGAACCAGCAGAAATTGATCTGGAGCAAGGTGTGCAAGATCAAGAGGTGAAACTAATAGATACATGGTTTTGGCGTAATCTCCAACCATTTGGTACAAAGATCTGTTTATTACTCAACAAGGTGACAGTGTATATACAAAGGCAGTGTGGAATGTGACATTTACAGGAAATTTCAGTACATCATGCACAGATACTATTGCAATGTTATTTTAATAGTTCAAGAATGTTAAGCTGAATAAATATTCCTTGCTTCAAAAAAATCATTTTTACTTTTACGTAAAAATATATAATATTGCACTCTTTACAAGGCCAGCAATTTTGCATATTGATTCATAACAAGTGGAATTCTACTTTATAAAAATAAGCTTTTGTGAGTAACACCCCAAACCAGGGAGCACAAAAGCACCCCAAACCCCACAATGTTTGTACTTTTTCATCTTAAATAAAGCACATCACTTCAACATGAGCCAGGAAGCTTTTCAGTCTGTATTTGGACCTTACATCAACAATTAGACAGTGAAAAACATGACTAAAGCCATCCCATACAATGCTGCTACAATATATGCAGTTCAAAACTCAATTCATACTGTATGTAGCCACTTGCTTAACTGAACCAACGATCAGCCTTTGTGCCACAGACTATGAGAATATTTTTAAGTTTCTCTAGTTTGAAAAGTTCTTCAATTGGGAAGTTGCAAGAATCTTTGAAGACTGGAATTTGCAAAGGAAGTGTAAAGATGTGTGTGTATGTCATCTTCATCACAACTTGACAATTTCATATACAGTGTTTTGAAGGCAGATGAACCTTAAACATGAGAAGATACAGCAGTTTGTATGGCAATTGCAGAGCATGTAAATGATGAAAAAGCAAAGCAATTTAAACAAAAAAAGTAACTACATCAGACTTGCGTAGCATTCTTGTTTTACCATTCGCATGACTACAGTAGGCACTCATTCATGGTTGTAGGTTTAGAGGTCTTCAAATCCACTGACTGAAATCTTAATTTGTGATCTGGTTTAAGAATTCAAAATTCGTTAAGCCTTTCACAATGGAGGCTTATTTTTTTCCCCCCTCAAAAAATAGCACCTAGGAATAAACAACATATTTCCACAGTTTATCTGTATGAACTTCAAAATCATCTGATGCCTCTGAACATTGATTATTCAAGCAGTTAGATTCAAACATTTTACAGTTTACTGAACTTCAATAACAGTAGAACAGTAGCACATCTGTGCCTTCTTTAACACCTTTCTTTTTCAGAGCTCTGGAAGATAAGCTGTGTGTGTATATAATATATATTCTGCCACAGAATTGCAATAGCTAGGTGTTATGAAATTAGGGAGCTAACATGAAATTAGAAAACAAAACCAATACATGATCTAACTATTGCTTCGTGATGCCATGAGGTGTCTACACATCACTAAGACAAATATATTATTTTTGCCTGTTGTAAAGACTATTATACTAACAGAGAAGATGGCAAAAATTACAAATCTAAAGATAACAGAAATTCAAATTTTTATCATTACAATACCATAAGATGGTGCAAAAAGCACCTACTAAGTTCTTTGCTTCTCAAAAAAAGCAATTTTAAGTGGTCTTGGATTCTTGAGTTTTGGATTGCTTATCCCAGAGCTAACTATACCATGGTCAACTGATCAGATATACATATGCTGACATTTTAATAGATATTTACAGAACTTTATGCTGCTGACATTTTACAACATAAGAGGGGGAATAAGCATTATCAATCAATTTTTTTAAATACTTCTGTCCAAGAAGTGATTTAAAAAAATACCATTATGTTTTATATTGCAGCATTTTGACTTGTATGTTAGAGCATTTATGAGTCACTTTGCTGGTATTGGAGTGTATGAGCAGAGCTTCCTGGTGACCTGGATATGCTTCAAGTTTGTGCATGCACATACGCAATTTTACAATGACCTTAGACTGCTGCTCTTTAAAAATCTATTCATTCTAGAGACATTCAAACTACCTCAAAATCCAGTTAAATAAGATTCTATAATCTGTTTTGGATTTAAAGTGCATCAGAAACATGAGTTAGCAGCAAAAATCGTCATCACCCAGCCGCATAGCTGCTAAGGAATGAGTAGAACATGGGTAGCTTCAAGCGCTGCTGGTCCTTGCGACACCAAGCTATAACATTTCCATCACTATTAGCTGTGAACAAGTGATGACCATCACAGGAAAATGTAAGGCTGAAAAACAAGACAACAATCTATTTTTATATTGGATTTGGCAATTTAAAATGCTAGAAAACATTAAAAACCTGTAAGAGTATAGCCAAAGATTAGCATAGGCGTTCTGTTCAGCCAGGCATTTCTTGAGCTATAACAGTAGTAAAGCTCTTCAGTCATGCCACAGGTAATGTTAGAGAGCATGAAGGTCAGCATCCATTTTCTGTCTCGTTTAAGCAGGAAACTTTAAATTATTCAATAGCTACTAAATCATTATCAACAAGCTTTGTGAAATATGGTTCTTGAAGGAGGTAACAAAGACAGGAACTGCTATCAGACAATGTTTTTTGTTTCTAACAAAGTGATTAGTGGTTTGGGTTTTAAGTGATATTTCAGCAATGGTCAAAACAAAATTTTTCAGTTATTTGTTACTATGCTAACATTCAGATAAAATTTTGGCATAACTCTAAGACCTCTGTTCAGACTACTGTACCACTGGGAATATCAAAGACGCAATCCTTTGCCTGTGTTCTGAAAACATTTTGGCATGAGAATAATTCTGCTTATATAAATCATCATCAAGGGGACTTGGAAAATTACACAAGCATGCCAAAATGGCAGCTTCCAGGTTCCTCTAAGTTTCCTTCACTCCTTTCTCCACCATTTCCCTCCAGCATCAGAAAAAAATATGGTCAGAGAAAATGCAGTGTTTTCATCTGTTTCCGAGGGAGGAAAAGCTGTCTATTTGAGTTTGACAAAATCAAGATTATCTCATGATTTTTACACAGGTTCTGGAGAAAAATATTAAACTTAAGAATAAGAAGAGTAGCTATTGTTCCATTCTCAAGGGAATCCTGCTCATTTCTATCTGCCAGCAGCAGAACCTAGTTATTACTGTCATTACAAATTCAGTGTGCTTGTGCTCATTTTGCTTTCATGAATAATTAGCAGGATTGCATTGCTCGTTAGATATGGGTGTTTACCTCCCGTTCTCATGTCAAATCCACATTCAACACTCAAGGCTATTTTGTTGTGGTTTTGTGTTGTTTCTGTTTTTTGTTTTGTTTTGTTTTTGTTTTTTCTTCTTTCTTTTCTTTCTTCTAAGAAAAAAATCCATTTATTGCATACTTAAGATCTTTTTACCTTATAATAGGTTTGGCTGACTTTGAAAATGTTATTTCTCGTACTGGCTTCAAGTCCCACGTACTCCACAGTCTGAAAGAAAGACATTTTTCTTCACATTTTATTTTACAAATATTTCAGTGATAAACATAACTTATTTAGCAACTACTAGGATCGGAAGCTGAATGACAGCTTCTCCACATTCTTTAAAGCCAAATATCAGCATGGTGTTTGGCTACAGGCTCTCAAACTGTGAGCCTAAGTTATAAAGTATTTTAATAAATAAAAGTTTCAAATGCTTACCGCACAACTCCATTTTCAAGCCCCCCTGCAATCACGTTGACAGACACTCCTTCAGGTTGGTTAGAGAAAGCAACAGAGCAAATACTTTCCCTGCAGTGTACATGTCCCACGAGATCACCATTAACTGTCCAAAGTCTCAAATCACTACCCCCTCCAACTGCAACAGAACATAGCATGGGAGTATTAAAAAATAAATCTAGACCACAGCTAGGTCTATGCAACATAATCTTTAAGTGTTAAACAGTTCAACTTTTTGAAAGATCAAAAGGTTAAATGACTCAGAGTGATACGTACTGCAGTAAACAATTATCTCTTCCCTCCTTTTGTGACAGGGAGCATGCAAACCACCAAGCCACTGCAGTGATTTAGAAAACACCACTTCATATTTATGGAACATTCTATTTACAAAATGCTATATGATTTTACTTTTAATGACCAATTTTCATGTACTAACAGGGAAGCACTATGAGAGAATTCATACTATCTGCTTTAAACAGCTAGTTCATGTAGCCTGGCTTGCATTTCAAGCAAAATACTTAAAAGTATCAAGCACAGTTATCTTACCTGGTTATCTGGGATTATCTGATTCTATCAAAGAACTAATAATCCAGCTACTGCTTTGTCTTAGAAGGGATTGAAACCCATGTCCCTTGCCAATTAAAGAATAGTACAATCTTTTCCAGAAAAAAAAAAAATTGGTTTGTGAGCTACAGAAAGGGAGTTAAAAGTCTCCACGTAAGCTTAAAATCAAAATATTAGGTTTCTGAAACTGCCAGAATAATTTCCCCTTGTCCTTTATTACTATAGAGTGTTCTGTTTTGCTCCTCAATCCCCGCCCCCCTAGATTTGGGACAGTGTAAGTTTGATTTCCGTGTGTGGAGTACTACAGTAAGAAAAGGTGGCTAAAAGATACTTCAGTGTGTAAGGCCTAGCTTACTCAAGGCAAGAGAAAGAATATTGGCCCAAGCAAAGGGAGAACTGGGTCAATAACTCTTCTAACAATATGGATAAATGAAGTTAAGCTCTCTCCCTTTTTATTCTGTACCTCCTTGGATCAATGGCATCTATCATTTAGATGGAGCCTATTCCCACCCCCAGTCTCAAGTTAACACAGTACACAGGTATCCATCACAGACAGCAAAACGGTGCGAGGACTCTGACTTGGCCCTGCTTTATTGATACAGTCCTGTAGCACACAGTCAGTCTTCAAGTCAATGAGCATTCCGATGTACGAAATACTCAAAACCTCACAGCTCAAATAGGCCTTAATGCTCTCGTCCAGAAACAGTACTAAGTGGAAAACAAGATAGTACAAAAAACATCTTTAAAATAAGATGGGGCAGGATGTGCACCTGCTTCTGGGGATATGGAAGCATTTAATGTGATAGAGTGAATAACAAAAATTCTGTTGCTCTGCATTAGACTGTATGCCCCTGAAGGACTGTACTTTTGATAACAAATCTCTTAAAATGAAAGCAGCCAACTTCACAGAATTTTCATCTCCCAGGAATCTGTTGAAATTACAAGTCTCTTCATAAAGGGATCAAGCCGTTGGCTTTTTTATCTCTACATTTACTCAAGCACCTGCCTAATCATTTCTAGAGAAAGTTATATGTTACTACTATGTAACAACAACAACAAAAAAGCACTCCTATTTGACCAAATGCATCCTCAGATGATTAACACACACTCAATAACTAAGTTAATAGCAAGTCTCATGGTTTATTTGGTCTGCATGTCAAAACAGCTTTCTCTACTGCCAAATATACCTGAATCACACACTGTTGCAATATCACCAGTTGTTTCGCTGGCTGAAACTGCAGTCACAGGGCTCTTGTGTCCAGCCAGACTCTGGACATAGCACAGCCTGAAGAAAATAAAGAGAACAAGCCTAAAGTTCAGACTCCAACACAGAAAGGGTTCTTTTGCATGATGGTATTTTTCATATTAATTCTAGAATTTCAGCACCCTTCATGGGAAGAACAGAAAGGGTTTGACTTCACATTAAGATACACAGGGAAAAAATTCAGTTAAAAGGGTAAGAATATCCAAAAGTTGGAAAGCAAGTATTTAAAAGAAAGCCATTGGAAAAAGTTACATATATACTTGTACCTGTTCAAATCCCATATGATGCAGGTTCCATCTTTGCTGACACTTATCATTATACTGTAGGGTTTGCACACAAACAAGCTTGTTATTTCTGCTGTGTGACCATACAGATGGACTTGTGACTCCATTTCTATCTCTGAAGGCTAAAAAACAGCAAGGTAAAACATGAACTCTTATGAAAAAGAAAATTAATGTCTTTTTTCCTGAAAAGGATAAGCCTAGGGACAAGTTTAATTCCTAGATTTCAGAAAATGGTTCCCATTGCTTTTAATGCCATCAGTTTAGCAATGCTTTGTAATAAGATAAGCCACACAATATCATTATTGTTCAACTTTGCTTCCAGTGCCTTAGTCTAAGCAAACATTGTGATGTGGTCCAATGAATCTAAATGAACAACTATTGTGCTACTTCTGTCGCAATTACGCACCTTGAAATTGGCTGATTTGTTTTCTGCAAGACTGCTATTTCCACATAACAGCGAAATGACAGTCCTCAGTATTTTAGCATCTAGAGGAAGCACTTGGAAACGTAGAAGGAAAACCCAGCTCAGCAGTTATCACACTGTGTACAGTAAATTACTGGGAATTCCTCAAGTTGGTGCCAAGTCGTTCAGTGAAACCAAGTTGGAAAAATATGCAGGAAGTCAAGTTTAAATATAGAAACTGCTAGATAAAAATTAAAGCAGCAAATTTAACACCGAATAACACTTCTTATTCAAGTTACATCATTTGAAATGATTCAGACTTCCTGAAAACTGGATAAGCTGAAGGAGCTGTTTTTCTCTCTAGTACTGGTAGTAATGGTTCATTGATTTTTCATTGTGTCCTTGTAATAATATCGTAATGAGACAAGCTGGAATTTTAGTACCAGCTGTATTAAGGCCTAATAAGTTATGAAATAATCACCCTCATGCCTAAAATACCATACCCTTTTTACTTCCCACTTGCTTTTAGATGACAACCACTACAACAGTAGCTAGATGTGGAAGAACATGTGGGTATGTATCTACCTGTAAATAGCAGTTCTTTGTTACCTCCAATGATCACCTACAACACTTGGGCGGAGAATTTAAATGATTGCTGCGCAGTGTTACTCAAACAGATCATTAAAGTGCTCTCTTTGTTTGCAAGACGACTCTAACAGACAACAAGTGAAGGCCAGAGTAATTTGTACAACCAGAAACCCTTGACTGAGGTTTTCATGAAGATATGACTTATTGTCAAGTTAGATCACGGTTTTAAAGCTGTACTTCATTATTTTTTTGACCATCTTGAAGGCTAGGAAAAACAGAGCATCCGAAGTATAACACGGAGGTATTTCTGAATTCTGACAGCGTGCCTTTGGATTCCCACATCCAATTAACAACATATCTGTTTTATGCCTATGCATTGAATTTATATAAATGTGAAACAGGGCAAAATATTAATGTTTCAAGTACTGCATTATAACAGACTGTTCACTTTATCACTAAACGGCTGACAAGATGCATACAGAACAGATGCTAGGAAGCACATTTGCATTCCCTGCAGCCCTGACTTGGGTAACTGACTCAACGGGAGCTACAAAACAGGCACAAGGTCAGTCTGCCTGGGGCATGTAAAACTGTCGGTGCTGAGAAATTCAGCAAAGATGGTCTCAAAGACAACATCTGTGCAGCTGAACAAAAACCACTTGTTTCTAGGAAATGCAGGGAACTTAACTCCACTACCAGAGCTTCTTTTTAGCATTGCGGAAGGCAAGTATATTGAATTTCTGTTTTAGTACCTCAAAAAATTTTAACTGCAATCCAAGTCTTAGTAACAATTCTGCTGAGCAGTTAAGGTGCCTGACTTAAGATCCAACTGACTGAAGCTTCCAGGCTTCAAGCTCTACTCAATTTTTTTTTTTTTTTTTAAACTAAACGTGCTGCCGAGTTCAGGAGGTCTGAGTGGCAGGTCACCAAAGACTGGAAGAAAGCCAAGGAAGAAATAAATGACTGTATGTTTGTGCTCTTCCCAATCTAAGCATCTGCTGTTTGCCACTACTGAAAACAGGATACTGGGTAGGCATAGCAGATCATACCAAGGTTCGCTCTAGTTAATGCTAATGTAGTAATTCAAGAGTATCAAGGAGTACAATACTACAAATGTGTTTGCCAATACCTGTGTCTGTATCAAACTAGATTTGAGAAATCAGTTTAGTTGTTGCTATGGTTAATCCTGGAGACGCACCTAAAACTACCTGTCAAGAAAGTTGCAAACTCTTTGTTAAAACCATGAAGAATAGAAGTTGATGCTGGAGAAAGTCAGTCAGAAGCTCAGAAACGCAGTCTGAACCAAAAGATGAATTTCGAGTTCTATTTATGCTTTCATAGCATGCTTATTACCACATAGTATCAGGGCAATTTCTACTAGTTTCTCAATATCTTCCACTAATGTGTTATGTCATGCAAGTTACTTTTCTCCCTTCCCTCCTCACAGTGTTTCCCCTTGGGAAATATGACAAAGTGAAGAGACTTTGTGGTTAATACACACACTGTCTGAGATTTCATCCTGGCTCTCTGTAGTATAAGTGCCTTCTGCATTTGAAATTATGTTTACTTTGGGGAAATGCATTCCACAGTTTCGGTTAAGGCCTTGAAAGGCTCCGTCTCCTTCACAGAAAAAGTTACTTCTTAATGTAGGGAGCTTCATTGTGCCAGAGAGCTTCAATTCCAAGCCCTATAGCCTGAATACAGTCAGAGCTGTATGTGTAATCAATTATGCACCCAGACGATGAGGGCTGACTAAGGGCTAGCAGTATGTGATCAACAGCTTAAGAAAACCCACAAATACTGAGATAAATATATTCAACACTGTCAAAGAAGATCCTTCAAAAATAAATACTAAACAAGCACTTGATCTTTTTAGCAATTGTCCTGAACGTATCATACTCCCCTTTTTTCGCTTTTCCTGTTTAAAAAAAGTGTCTGTAATAGCAAATGCAGCTAAATTCTTAATTATAAAACCTATCCAATGGAACTTACCATATTGCTAGTGAATCTGTTCATATATGCTGTGATGACCCCAGATTTACTACCTGTGAACAGCTGACAGCTGTCTGGCACCCAAGCACAACTTGTTACCTTGGAAAGACAAGACAAAGCCAGAGAAAAATCAGAACAGAAACTATTCTAACTGCAATTTTCATTATGCCATCGCATTTGGTCAAACTGATTCAAAAGCCACGTAAAATACCTGAGCTAAAGAAATCCAAATATTATACCTGCGCTAGGTCATATTTGTTATTGCTTCAGAAGCAAAGTAAAGAGGGAAATTCTGTGTAGACCAGAATTCACAGCTGAAGAGCAGTGAGCTACTGAAGACTTCTAGATCTACAGCCACAGCAGCCAAAATCTTTTCAGTAGAATCTCACCAACCACTGGAGTGTAACGGAGATTACATAGTGTTCCCTAACAATCTTTTAGATAATCTTTTTCAGAGAAATCCTAAACTATAGTGGAGTTCTGCTTCTAATGCAAGGCATCTATAATTTTTTCCAGTATTTGTTTTTCTTGGCCCAGAACTTATGTTTTTATAAATCCACAGCAATATTCTATAGGAGGGAAATGCTACAAAACCCAAATGCATTCAAAAGAGATCTCTGCCTAGTACAGAAGCACGTCCAGGAATGAGATACACTGGAGCAATGAGGGACACATTTGAAAGGAGATTCAAAGAGATTAAAGCCAGTTGTGTTTGGATGCTCACCTCCAAGAAAAATGAAAGCAAGAGTACTTACTGCCAAGTCAGGCCACCATTTATACTAGCAACATTAAATTGAAGACCAAGAGACTGATTTTTTTACCTGATGAAACTGTGAACTCTGTATAAAATTTACTGGAGGTTCACTTTGCTTGCTTTTCAGTCGTAAAATGTTATCGGCATATCCCCAGCTCAGGATAGCTGACCACTGAATGTCAGTGCTGTGCATGCTTCTCACACCTGAAGGCAGGCATATAATGTTGTGTCACATATGTAACTGAAGAGTTGATCACTTTGATAGTCAAGAATAAAAATCTCAGGTCCATATTTTACCACAAGCTACAGCATAAAACCCCCCAAAATTTCAAAGTAAGATATTTTCTGTTAGGCTATGGCTTAATCTGTCACGTATTATAACCAAACATAGTTTTCAGACACGATGTAAACATTCAGTGTTGTCCAAAGACACTCTGCAACCTGGATAAAGTCTTTTTGAAGAAATGTTGCATCTATCAGGAGTGGAGAAGAGGGGAAGAGGCTGACAATACTTCCCAGCTAAAGAAATGAGTGTTCAAAACTTCAATGAGAACATTACATTTAGTCAACAAAAGTAAAGTAAGACATTTCTTTCTTAAAAAAAACCCTTCACTAGTACACATTACTAAGAAAACAAAGAGTGTGAAAACCTGTTTGTACATTATCAATAAGAATTCCCCTGAGGAGTTTATCTGAAAGCAGAAGATCCTTCACCTCTGCTTTTTACTGATAACTTCCCTCATTCTATGCCTCTAGAAACTGTTCATTAATTCTCATTTCTGCTGCCATGTGTTCTTTTCATCTGTTCTTCAGTTCTTCTTGGACTGAATCTGCTTGCAAGCTCTAAAATTAAATCCTCATGCTTCAGTCACTTCAATTAAAAATATCAACCTAATTACAGGATGTCTCTATGGAGTTTTGAAAATTACAAGTAAAATCCACTCTCCAGGAAAGATCCTTCACATGTGGAAGCTGTTACTGGATTTATCAATGAAGCTTTGGCAGAAGCAACTACATTTGGGAAGTTTCCTGGAGAATATTAGTAGCATTAGACTTATTTTTTTTTTTACAGCTCATTTTTGCATGTATTGTGCATGCAGAGAATAAGCACAAATTCATACCTTGCTCCTTGCTATATATCATCAAAAGGCAAAACTTGCGGGACAAGCCGCAGATAGCTTTAGTTGGTAAAGCCTGGAGAGAGCCAAACCTTTCTCCATGTGGTTGGCTAAAGCAGACAACAGGATCGGGAGCACTTGGGGAACCAACGTATTCTCCCCACTTCAAGCCTTTTATCCATGGTAACGGACTCTAAAACAAGCACAAATAAGGTTCAAATTAGAAGGCGGTAAAAAGTTTTCCGAAAAATCTTATTTCATTAGTAAGGGAGAATCATTCATATCGCATCCCCATAAGCAATCACATGGTAAAGACTGCTGAAGTATTATAAAAATACCAGAAAGACAAGTGTGAAGCGCTCTACTATCATCAGCTGAACTATTAGCTTTAAGGGGGCTCTCCCACTTCTTTAAGGGCTGAGATAGCAAGCTTGTAGTTCAGGTAATTTAGTGAAAAATATCAATTTCTTTAAATGCAAGGATTCAGTTTCTCACTGGACTTTAGGGAAAACAAGTGTTTGAAGTGAAGAAAGTTGCACTGTTCTATGGACAATGAAAAAGTTGAGGATGGAAGAAAGCACAGTACATGTTTACCTGCTATAGGTTTGCACACAGATTCCAGAATTCCTCATTGAAAGTATAAAACTGGTTAAGTGAAATTCTTTCCAACACCTATTTGCTATAACCAAGATAAACTCAGACCTATCTTAGTTTGACACAAAATATATCACAACAGCATGAAAATAATTTTCGCTATCACTTTGCTAATTTTGCGTATTCTCTTTAAAGTACAATATGGGTAGTAAGTTCAGTTTTAGGAAGGAAGCTGTCAACATAAGGGTACAATAATTACAGGATATGAATGTTAATTAAACCATCTTGCAAATCAAAATGACATACTGGATATATTATTTCTTTAGTGTGTTCTCTGGTTTCTCTGAAAGCAAACTGCACTAGTAACCCCATGGCAGCAGGAAGTTCTCCTTCCATGATAAGCCGGGATCCAGGCCTGCTAACATGTGCTGTATGGAACAGCTGGCGAGGTGTTTGCCCATATGTTTTTATCATTGTTTCAAGGGCTCTTCTCTGAACAGGATCCTCAACAGCAGAAACATCCATCCCAAAATAGGTCTACAGAAAAAAAAAAAAAAAGGGAGGGGAGGAACAAGAATAAGCATGTCCAGTTTGTCTTTGGGAAAGATTTCTCAACACATGCATGCAAATTTAGAGGCAGACTCTTCAGCTGTTTAGTTAAAACTTGGACCAAAAGCCATCTCACAACGTGTGGCGCTCTAGTCAGCACAGCAAGAACGGTAACCTTGTCACCACTCCTTTATTGGAGATAACTATCGCTTTAAAATTTATCATGTGAGCTGCTCCTACATCTTTTCCATTACTAGTTTCTGTCAAAGAGGTTTTCTTAGTAGACCTTTACTCATCTGTGCAAAAACAGAAGGGTTGCTGATGATAAACAAAATCGAAAAGTTTGGTTTTTGTACCTCTTTTTAATTAATGTATTAAAACTCCAGTAGGGAGGAAGAACCCTCTTATTTCAGAAGAGTAGAAATTCTTTCTCTGCTTGCCTTTTTCATGCCTCTCTAACTGTGTATCACATACTTTTCCTCACACTGACAAAGGCCTTGACTTTCCACTTTAAAAAACAATTAACATACTCACACAAACTGAGCATCTGAAATTTAAGGTAATAACTATATCAACACTTAAGCACAAAAAAAGGAAAGAAGGAAAGCATTTGGATGGTACTTGAAAAGAAAAAGCCACCTCTCCAAACACTACTGTTTTATTAGCTCTTCCAGGTACAGAATGAACACTGAACTCACGGAACACGTTTGAACATGTCTGAAACCAGTCCCACGTTGAAATGGTTAAAGTCTTTTCTTATTCGTTGACATTTCAGGAGCAAGAGATCTTGCTTCATGCTGGATGTTTTCCAAGCAAGTCAGACCGAACTTTCCCCCATTATTACTAAGTACAATGAAAAAACACACTGCTTAACGAATACTTACTGCAGGATGAAAGACATTAATAGCCTGAACAGAGGCCTTGCCTTTTTGCTTATAACCAAACACCAAGTCAATCCAGTGACAGATTGTCTGGGAAACATGGTCAGACTCCAAAGCCTGACGATGAATCAAGATGAACAGACGAGGATCATTACGAGCCCAGGGTGGAAGATTGACATGGTTAACTCTGTCACCATTTTGACGTACTCCAAAATCAAAACCTAGAAACAGGGGAGTATGTTCCGACATTTTAGTTGACAGTAGCATCAAGAAGTTCTTTATAGGTTGCTATGAAAGGTAACCATTAAACACAGTGATTGCTGATCAACAAAGCAGCATCACTAACAAGTCCCCCCCAAACACATCCAAGATGCACCTAATCATTCAAATGGAAAAATCAGACAACAGGAAGCTCCTTTGCACCTGTGACAATTATGAAAAAACTTCCCTTAATTCTTACGTAACAGCTTTTTTAGCATACCCCACAAATTTGTGCCAGATTTCTCCCATACATCTCCTACTTAGCATATTCAGTCAAGGGATACAAACGATCTCAGTTTCAACCCATAGGCTCAACTGTACAGCTTTACCAGGTATATAGTTTTGTTATCCTCTTAGTATACCTTCTCTATTAACTAGAAAGTCAGGAAGGTAGAAAAATTCTGGGATCAGCTCCTTTACGTCAGTCATTGATTCATATGAAGAGAGTCGCCAGGTCGTATTGGTAGAATGAAAAGTTCTGTCCGGGATGTCAAAACTTTGATCTGTAAAGAAATCCAAACTGAATTTGTTACATCGATGATGGACACGATAACAGTTGCATACCTGCAGCTTCAAGTAGTTAACCACCCTTCAGTTAGAAGAGCTCTAAATGTTCTCAGCTATTTCAATTACTATGTGTTACACATGGGCTGCAAGTCAAATATAGGTCAGCTTTTTATTCTGCACACACTAAGGTATAAATATAAGATGTACAACTTTATGATCTAGCTTGATAATTTCAGAATGGGTCTGCTGTGAAAGCATACCAGATTTAATTTTACTGCTCTCAGCTATTTGGAATTGATATACTATGCTAAACAAAGTAACATATAGCATTTTTGTGTCACTGGGACAAGGCCCAGATCTGAAAGGTAAGTGCAAGCAAATGTAACCTTACCTTGATAGGCTAAAAACATTTTAGTAAAAGGTGGCAGCCTAACTAGGAAATGAAGCACAGTTCCACTGTTAGAATAATGAGATCCGTAGTGGTATGGCTGTACAGGGGGCATTGGATCATCCTCTCGTGCTCCTTTACGGTACTCTTCTTCCAAATACTTGAAAAGTAGTAGGAAAAAAAAAAATAATCAAACCTCCCCTAGACTGCATTCCAATGACAAAAATCAGAGCTTGCCTAAGTTGTTTAGGAATAAAGCTTAAAACTTTTAGAGGTACGTATATTTAAAAGTGATTTGGAATCAGATACACTTTGTCTAAAGACATGTGATTGCTTTTACAGTCCAGTCAGGTTATCAGTCTTAAGCCCATTTAAATTACCTGTTTTCTGTTACTTATTACTTTTGCCTTCTTCCCATGCCTCTTGTTTTCTAACATGGCAGAATCATTGTACAGGCTTTTCAATATGAAATGGAAAAAATATTTGCAAATAGTACACTAGACCATGGTAATATAGACAGAAGTTTGAAGGTCCAACTGCAGATGCTTTCATTCCCTAGCACGTTATTATTTTCTACAGCCTTTAAAACATTCTAAAGAGCAAAAATCAAAAAGCACTGTAATCATAGTAGGGCACGTTAAAATAACAGTACTTGAGGGAAAACAGCTTTGCTGTTATCAAAGAACAGCCCCAAGTTGCACTGAAGTAATTTCAAATAAACAGCAAAAAGTTATCTTCCCAGTCTTTAAATAGATGTATGTTCTTATATAAGATACCAATTTAACCTCCTCAGCAGTATCACATGGAAACACTGAATTGATTTATACAGGTACAGGAACAGACAAATACAGGTTCCAAGCATGCTATAAAACAATTCCCAGGAAACAGAGCATACTGGAAATGAGAATTCCATAGACATAAAATACTGGATTTGTGGTTTCTTTTCTCCACTTCAATTTCTGTTAAAAAAATTAAAGCCTCCATATCATTTATACAGAGGAAAAAGGCAAGAAGCAAAAGTTATCCGAATTACCTTATAAGTATCCACATAACGATCCTCTTTTTCTTTAGACTGCACAGCAATTGGTTTGACCAGATTTCTGTAACAGAAGTAGTACTGATATCTTGTCATTTTTACAAAGATGTTGAGTCACACCATTTAATAATGCATTATTAAGAATAATGCTTTTAAGATCATGAAAAGGATAAGCAAAACTTAAGACTATTTTACAAAAGAGTTCAGAAAATAAAAAAGCCATATGTAGTGCTAAAGGCAAACTCAGACCCACAGGCTACCCCACAGCACAGTAACAGGCAAGCAAGTACCTCTGTCAAATCAGAGGCATCATAAAAAGGCAAAGACTTTGTGCACACAGAATGTTAAATCGGCTTAACAGAAATTTATTAGGGTGGGACAATTCACTTGGATCTATTGACAATGAAAACAATATGATATTATTGTAACTGGCCAACTGGTTTATAGTATTATTTCCTTTTCTATTTAATTTTCAGTAACTGGCCTGAAGCCTTTAACCACATCAATTTAAACACACAGCTTTTATTTAAATCTGTGGATTATCCATATCCTATTAAGACAATATATTATGTCCAATTCAAAGCATCCTTTGAATACACAGACTCCTAATACTAGGCATTTTATTTAAATATCTGAGGTGAAGCAGCCACTTATTGTAAATGCCCAAGTTATTATAGATGAGGTTTGTCCCTGAATAGTTCCATTCATGTACGTGTGCAGTTTAGTACAATTAAGTTAATAAGCTATACTGGATGATCAGTTCAAGTATTTGGAAATAATCAGTTCCAAACATTTCATATTACCTATATACTGATGGATCATTTAGGTCCAGCGTTTCATTGGTGTAGTCAGAAAGTATAAAAGGAAATACTGGATATTGCATGAGATCATTGAAGGAACGGCCTGCGTGTTTGTTTAAATGAGTCAGATATTCAAAGTTAGTAATCTGTCCTGTGCACCACAGGTGGGTCAAAGCAGTAATGTTTCCATATTCCAAAAGGTTAGGCAAATTGTTAGTTAAGATGTTGTGGTACACATCATCGCGGACCTAGAAGGAAATACCATAGATTTAATCATATAATTTAAAAAGCTTCAAACTACCAAGACTTAATAAGTTTCTATCATTTTACAAATTTCCAGATATCTACTGTAATGGAATAATGTTTAGCATTACTAAAATTCTTTTACATCTTAATACAGCAGAGATGTGTTTTACAACATTACTGTGTTTATCTAGAAGTTTAGCTGAGCAGTTTTTTCAAAGGTATTAGGCAGAATTTAACTAGTCCATGCAAGAGGTCTCCTTAAAAACTAATGCACAAATGTACATGTTATGAAGACACAGCAAAATGCTTTGATATATTATTATGCATCAGTGACTCATTACCTTTGTATTATCAAAAGCCAAGAGCAAGGTTCTGCCATTTGTTAGGAATATTTCCACAGCATTGTCTCTTAACTGCCACCAGCGCTTATGAACTTCCTTAATTTCCTCATAGGTCCAAGAAAATGATGCTGGTTCAGTTTCTCCATGAAAACTCTGCAGAATTTGCAATTGAAAAAGTTATTTTAAGTAGATTTCCCAAACAAGAAATGTTTCAACACAGCCAATTAATAACCATACAGCATACTGTAAGGCAAACTTTAACTTTGCTGTGCTGCTTTAAAATATTGTCATGATTTTCTTCATGTTTCCCATCCTCCACTCTTCCAAAGGCAGTGGGCAGAACATCACACATGCTCCCCGGCTGCTCCAGTTCCCCATCCAGCGCTAGCAGGCAATGCTGTATTTTCTCTGGCTCTTAAGCTAAACAATTGGGACAGCCAACCAGTGCAAGCAAAGCTTTGCCATGAATCCCAATTCTCAAAGTTCTATGAGTAACTACTATGAGTAACAAAGCAGCAAAACAACTAGTGGCATCGTAAAGCACAGGAGCTGTGTGCTTAGTGGATGTAAGGAAAAGCTCCCTGAAAATAATGTAAAACTTTCAGCAGTATAACCCATATCTTGGGGTTTTTTGATGGTTTGGGCTTTTTCGTTTGGTTTTTTTTTTTTGTTTTTGTTTGTTTGTTTGTTTTTTTCCTGTTTGTTTATTTTTTTTAGTGTCTGTTGGATATATGAACTTAAGTAACACTTCAGAGCATTTGTATATCAGAAAGATTAGGTCAGTTCCAGTTTCCTCCATGAAACAGTTTTCTCTCATATAGGATAAGGGGTGAGCTAGAACACCCTATGTAATGAAAAATTCAAAATCAGATACTGTAGAGTACAGCCCAATTCATACACTTGTGAGTTTCTGTACTTCCTAGTGCTCCAGCTTCCACTCAGGCAGGTTCTCAGGTGTAGACCAAAGGAAGCTCCGCACGCTTACGCTGATGAACTCAGAGCAATGGACAGCAAGGTGCAGAAGCTCCCCCACATCACCCTCTCCTCATTCCCTCCCAGCCCCAGGCCTGTTTTCTGCTATCACCACTGCTTCCACAGCCACAGGCAACAGAAGCAACACTGAACCCAGATTAATCAGTTTGGCTGGCCTTGTCCAGAGACCCCTAATTAGTACTGCAGCAATACCAGTGGCAGCAGACAAGAGATAGTCATAGTTGGGAAAAATTAAAGCTGGACAATATGCTCAAATACTTACTGAGTTTTCAATTGTGTCTGAAGCATTGTCTTCAACAAAATACATGCCACATTTTCCTGCAGGAAAACACAGTTGCAAAAAGGTACATGATATTAGTGTTTGTATAATGCATCCTAGTGTTATATAAACAATGTCCAGGAGTTAAGATCACTAATAATAGTACCTGGACAAAACCGTGCTTGACAGAAATGGAATTTATCATTCCACATCTTTTAGCAACTTTAAAACTTAACTACAGTCCAAGTAGCACTCAGGCAAACAGTGGTGGAGAAAGGAAAATCTGATCTATAAAGTATATAATCCATAAGCAATCAGGCAACAGCTCAATTACTTAAAAAAAAAAAGTTTATATACACAGCAGAATCTTACACAAAAAAGGTATCTGAGGGCTGAAAATTCTACTTACCTAGCAACAATTCACCAGCAGTCTCTCTAGAAGGTGCTACACTTACACATCTTCGATTAACTCTGAAATATTTCAAAGTGCATTATTGCTTATGGATTTATGTACCTTTCAGCATGTACCTAAAACTAACAGCCTCAAAGGCTACGGTTGAAGACTTTTCAACACCATGACTCTAATGGTTCAAATCCCATGGAGGGAAAGAAAATAGAACCTCAACTTTCCAGACTTGCACATTAGTATATTTGTATTTATTTTTCTGTGTGTTCTCTGCAGTTATTTTAGGCAGTATTAGTGCCTGTAATAGGTGGTAAGTTGACACAACTGCAGATCTGAGTAATACAATGGCAAAGGCAGGGAGGATGAAAACAGCTTGCTTTTGAACACTGATGGAAAGACTTACAAGATCTAGTAGCACTGCCTGTCTTAGATATCTAAATGACAAGTAACGAAAGAAGTCCCATCCCCATATCACACCAGATGGTATTTGCTTCTGATGATTTTTGAAGTCATGAAGATAGACTGTTTTAAGACTCAGAAAATGTACATGTTGGTAGCTCTAGCTCTGATATTTTCTTATGAGTATAGCAAAAAACCTACCATTTTTGACATTTGTTTCTTATCTCACTTGATTATTTTTTTAATGTCTATTTAGACAAAAAGGTGAGGAGAACTGTTTCACTGGAATGGGAGAAGGTGGGAAAGGGAGAAGTGTTACCCAAACCTCACCTTATATGTTCACTTGCAGCTTTATCCTTTACAGTAGAAGAGTGAGAAGAATGTGTTTTGTCTTCAAATAGATAAGATAACGGAGTTTTTATCACACCTATAAAAAACCCCCACAGATAATAGTCACTAGTAGTCATTACAATTCAGACATACTCTTAGAAGATGTTATCATTACCTTCCTGTTTCTGCCTGTCTGGGAGAAGGTACTTGTTTGGAATAGTTAGGTAGCACCTCTGTAAGCGACGCCTCTCTCTGTTTGGGCCCTCTGTTGGATCCAGTTGCCAAGAAGTTGGGTAGTAGACCGGGTCATACCAGAGTGCTCTGAAAAAAAACATGTTTGAGTTTGGTAGCAGAGTCAGTATGTATGCTTATTCATTCTGGGTTTTTTTAAATAGTAGTAAAGCATAAATTTCACAGTAGTACACTGGGCAATTATTTCAAAAGAAGTATCAAAAGTCTGAATTCTGTAGTTTATTTTCATTAACTATCCCACTGACTGATTAATTATGAGCTACTACTGTAAGACTGCTCTTGAAGTTACTAATTCTGATGAAAACAGCAATACGATGCATCCAATACTTTATTTTGAAAACTCAGCTGCTGCAAACTTGACATAACATCCGTTCTGCAGTGGTAAAAATACCATTGTTTGTTTCTTGTCAAGACTTAACTTCTTTTGTTCTATGCAGATTAGTGAACACAGTATCTGGATGCTAATGTGAATAACATTACCCATAAAATGTTTTGTTACTCCACCAATGCAATACAAGATATGAAAGATTTATGACATTCTTTATTCTATTAGGCACAGCAAAACGTATCTGACAAAGCCTGTCTAAATGGCATAGAACTACTACTTAACTACTCTCAAAAAAATAGGAGAATAGATCAAGTATCTTACAAGTCCTTAACCATCAGATGATTAGAAAAAGTAATTCTAATTTTAATCTCATCTACATTTCCTGTGCCTGTAAGCAGAATGAGAAGCATGCGTCAGGCATCGAGTCGCTCTCTTGCTTTTTCACTGAGATGAGAGAACAACTTACCGATCATGAGTAAGCTGCTGAACCAGTTCCTGCCAATGTCTGCTGGCACTTAGCTCTGCCTTGTACATCCCTCTGATGTGCTGGATTACTTTCTTCCTTTCCATTCCTTGCGACAGAGACACAGCTTGTGTGATGTCTCCAGCTATTTTAGAAATGTCTTTAGATTTTGTATCCAGACGTTGAAAGAGACTGCAGAAGAAGAGTTGTGTTTTAAAATGTCAAACACACTGAAAAGGGAAAGCAAAACCCCTTATAAAATACAATCAGTTTGGCTGTAGACATCCATAGTTCTTGTTACAGCAGATACAGAGCACCTTAGCCTACATACTTTTCACGGGACTGAATACCTTCTGCTGCTTAGCCTTCAAAAAAAGCTATTACTTGTGGCCAAAGACAAGATAAACCAGTTAGAAGATCAATGGCTATGTATTAGCATCCTTTATTAATGTATACTCATTACAATAAAAAACTGAAGAACAGTAATTTACCACTGCTCAAACCTCTTAAGTTACTCAACATAGTAAAGTCTTATCACTTATCTGGACAGAGTTGACTAAACTGGCCTTTAGAGCTACTACAGGTGCCTACAGAGACTAATGTTGTGTGCACACCTCAGATCTGATTTTGACAGTGAAGCCTGCAATGTAAATTAATGGAATGAACCTCTTAATCCACCACAAGTTACCAAAATTCACATTACACCGAGTAGCAGCAGTCTACATAGCTCACAAAAGTGTTCAAATACTGTGCTGAATGCAATGATATTGTATTCATTGAAGATCAGGGTTAGTTGCAGGGACATTCGCCTTACATTTAACTGCACAGACCACAGCAACAGGAGAGGTGATTGGACAGATACAACAGCTGTAAAACTAAGGGTGAAATGCCAAAAGTGCAAAAAGTGATTCAGTATTATGAAGGTCACACAATGCCATTTGGTATACAACCTATCAAAATGCATCTACCTATAATTGGGCTGTTTTTATAACAGTCAAATAAAAAACTGAAAGCTAGCCGTGCTGTTAAATTGAAAAACATCTGTAATAATCATATAGGCGACTTTGCGATGGGGTGTGCTGAACAGAGAACATGCTTACAGAGTTCTTGCAGCTGCTTCTAGAAGGCACTTACTTTTGCCGGTTATTAGCCATTGTCTTCTCCCAGGCAGCTTTGTTTACACCTTCTTCCATCTCATATTTCTTCTGATCCTGAATGGAAGTTTTATACGTTACTTTTTTTTTTTTTTCCCAGATGGTTAAAATAAGGAAGCAGAGGTTAAAGGATATGCCGATCTAAAAAAGGAAGACTGACAAAACTGTTCAACTGGTGTCTTCACAGCATTTAAAACCATCAAGACCTTATTTCAGTTACCACAATTTTATTATATGTAGATACAATTTTATATTTTTTCACAAGGAACCATAAAAATATTTTTTTTTTCTGACAATGAGATACACTAGTAGCTTATTAAAACTCTCACCTTCACCTGGGTTAAATAATATGTTTAGCCAAGAAGCATTAGCACGTGAGCTTGCTGTGAAGCACTGAGTATATATGACAAATATTCAGAACCCAGTGAGAATCCCCAAAAGCATAAGCCATGCACCAAGCAAACAAAACTGCTGTCTCCAGTAAAACTCTGACCCCATGTAACAGAAAATTGCCTTAACTATACCCAGTATTTTAAGTAAAGTTTTTATTCACAAACCTCTTTCAAAGCTTTTATTAGATCTGGTTTCGGTCGTGGGCTCAGGGGAATGCATTTATAGCCACAACATCTTAATGTATTCACAAAGTCTCCTGCTGCTCTTTTTTCTTCTTTGGTGATTTCATCACTGTGATTGTGCATTAACTCATACAAATAGAGCACTAGTTTAGGTCCATGCTAGAAGATGAAAAGAAGGGAAGAGGAGAAAATTAGGTGTATGGTCATTCTCATTGCCACAAGACAGCGCTGAGCAGTTTTTTCCTCCAACTTCATTCCCTTTTCTAGTCACCCTGGACAGACTTCTACTCATTTTTCTGTGATTTAAAGAAAATGTCTGCTTTAATGTTTGAACTTCTATAAAACTAGAAAGAACATGCTGAATTTAATCCTCTACAAGATAAAACTTCCCCCAACATCTTCTGACTTTTCAAATGGCTTACAAGAAAGCTAAGTTTATTTTCCAAGTACTCAGCTCTTGCAGCCTTGTTGATACTTCAGGAGATATGTGCCAGACACTCCTAATTCTGCCAGCCAGGAGTGCTACACCTTGTCTGATTAATCATATTAGAGCTGACAGACAATGAAGTTAGACAGAGGCCATGAATTCACTCAACGTGACACTCCCCTAGAGAAACCATTGCTAGTATATCAGCTCTTATTACCAGTGAAAGTATTAATTTAACTGAATAATGTATATGTGATCAGAAACATAAGCGTCACAGGTTCATTCAATAAGTACTTTATAGCATACGGTGACTCAAACTGTGGGATGTCTTACATTATTTATTTCATTCTTGCAGTTCCTGAAGAACTCAAACAGCAACATTCCTACCCAATTCCTGATCATGGCTTTAAGAAATGCTTTCTCTCAAGCTTGCAATAACAGAATACAACCCAAAAAGCTTTTTCCTGACAAACCCAGAAAAGCAGGGAGAAACTGGTCAGATATTTGAGTTAAGAACACAAAATACACAATCCTACTTTAAGAATTAATAAAGGCTAAATAAGAAAAGAGAGAGTAGTGCTATGATTGAGGACTGGCTGCCTCTTAATCTAGTAGCAATCAGTTCTTCTAAGATTCAGGAAGTCTGCAGTTCGAGTTCCAAGGTGAGGGTAATTCCATCATTAATCTGCCTTTTCAGGTACCTTAACTTCTAGCACCCTCAGAAAAATTCTTCATATTAAGACTAGTACTGCCTTTTTCTGCACTACACAGGAGATGTGATGTTTGATATGTGACAGAGTCAACATACCCAGACATAATCTTATCTTGCCTCTTAGAAAACCATCTACCCTCAGGATAATATAGCAATTGCTGAGGTACACATGGGCATTGTGTGAAGCAACCTCATCATTACACTAAACATCGCTAAAACAGTGGTGAACAACTTTAGCCACATACAGTTCTAAATAACTGTAAAATTTTAACAAAAAAAAATTGAATACAGGTTTTACAAGCTTCTCCAAAACACTCTTGAGCTTACTTGCAAATTCGGGGTAAGACAGTCACGCATAATCTCTTGATGGTTTACTTCAGGTACCATCTCCAAAATCTGCTTTCTCTCTTGCAGTGGCCTTGCTGGAGACAAGTTGTGCACAAGAAGCCTCCCAAGTTGCGTACGGAACGTGTCCTTACATGACAAGAGGATTCTCTTCCACTGCTGCTTTGGTGTGTTCATTCTACTGGTGCCCTAAGAGAGACAATTTTTTAATATTATATGTTTAGGTCCTCCTTTTACCAAGTTTTTCATGTTACAAAAGAAACACAGTTAATATGATCAAAACATAAGACAATAAAGAACTCTCTACCAAAATAAAGTGATTCATTTCAATTTACTGATTATTACACATTAAAAGGCATTCTACTGAAATTGAAAGAAAGGTTTGTTAATTCTAATAAAATAAGCCTATTTTTCTAAACCTGCCATTATTAGGAATGCAACACCTAGCTAAACTGAATATTCAGCTAGATGGACTATACAATAATGCAAAAAGTGAAAACTGATGTAGAGGGTTTTTTTGTTTGCCTATTTTAATTAATAGCCCTTCTATATCAATCACTAGTTTCTGAACAGATTTTCTCAAAAGATTAGAAACCAGGCACTGGACTAAGATGGTTGTGCTCACAGAAAGAAACCTGCCATCTTCAAAAAGTACTGCAAGTCTGGCATAACGGAAAGATAGCAGACCTGAAACAATTTTCCAGAGCTAGAAAGAAAATTAGGTTGAGCTACTTTTTAGAGAGACAACCTATGAGAAATAGAGGCAGGAAGCAGTAATTTAACTTTTCCAATAAAACCGTTTCAAATTACCCAACCTTGGAAAGGTTGACAAGCTAACACCTGTGTGCTAGAAGAGAAAACTCTCAGCCCTTTAGCAACTGTTGTAAAAAAAAAAAAAACACCAACAAAAAAGCCCACAAAAAGCACACAATGGAAAGTTCCCCTTCCCATCTCTAAAATATAATATAGACACATATTGCTCAGAAACTCTCTATCATCTGTGAACGCACAGCAGAACCTATTTTATAGGCTCCAGCAAACAAGCACTGAGGTTTAAGAGACAAAGCAAATTCGTGGACTACTCAGAAGTCTACTTAACTTTTGTGTGCTTGTTCAAGACACAGAATTTTGGTAAATTTTAAGGTAAAAATCAGAACAGATGCATTTATTATTTTACTGCTGTAGAATAACTGGGAAGTTGAACAGGGTTTTTAATGCCACAGCTGAATTGAGAGAGGCAGTAAGAAAAGCATTTATAGACAGAAGACTTTATGCATGAAAAGATTCTGATAAAGGAACCTTATGAAGTATGCTTTAATGTGGACATCTAATTACTTACAATGGATACTTTGATTCCTTCCACCAACAGTTTGAACACTTCTTTAAGAAAAGGATTTGTTCTGCTAGGCAGATCTTGCTGGCTTTCCTCTTCAGGAACCTCCAGCCGGGATGCTGAAAGTCTGCTTTGACATGTGTTTTCTGTTATACCCAGTACATCAAGGCACTCTTCAGTAGATGCTTAAAATTTAAGCAGCACAAATTGATCAATACCATCTCAAGACAGACAACCCTAAGATCCTTTACTTGGCATTAAATCAAATACTGCCTTTACTACTATACTTAGACTTACTCTTTCTCTTGCTTCTGTGGAATCTGAAGTAGCCCCCAAAGTCATCAAGTCTAGCAAATAAACGTAGCTGTTTCATAGAAACATGCAAACTGATGCATTTTAAGAGAGCAGATGCTCCCCTTTGGCAGAGTTAAATCTTTAGGTAATAATTCAGTCAGTTAACACATGAATGGACTAATGTTGAATTAAAATAACTTGTTCAATTCATTCAGATAAAAACTGTATCCAGATTGTCAGTTACATAATACTGAGACACAGATCACCAGGAGAATGATGTTTTATGGTTAAATCCATTGAAACTAGTGCCAGTAGTATTACTTTCCTCTCAAATACTTCACTGCAAAAGCAAAAATCCATTTTTCATGTAGCCCTACATTGGCTTTGTCAAAACAGAAACGAGCAAAAATAAATCCTACCTAAATAAATGAGCCTGTTAACAGCTAGAACAGTCAGCCTCTGTAACCTTTGTACAAACTCAGTCTCAGTGGCTTGGATAGGATTTTCTTGGCTCATTCTGCGCTGCATCATCATGTTGAATTCCTCGCTTGCTAGGGAGCGCATTTTCATCAGCAGAGCATCAGACTGAGCAGGTGAAAACTTTCTGGAGCCTGTAAGTAGAGAGGTATTAATAGCATCCTACTAAAACGCACAAAAGATTAATCACTCAGCAACTGCTTTCAACCAGGGAGTTCACATCATTTAAGGAAACAAAACATTTGAAATGCATTAATACTGAAGGGAACATGTGTTTCATTTGGGTGTTTGTCTCTTTGTTTTACAGGCTTTTCTATTTAAAAATAAGCATATAAAATACAGGAAGTGATACTATGAAATGAGTTAGTCTCAAGATCAGATTTATTGTACAAGGGTTTTTGCATAAAGCAGATTCTAAAAAAGTTACTTTTATTCCCGTTTTTACTGTATAATTAGGATAAAGGATTAAAAAGTAATGATACAACAAAAAATTGGCTGTTGGAAAGTAGCTTTATCAGCACAAATGAGGACTCAGTTATATTAACAGCTTGTAAACAAACACATTTTGTACCATGCCCATTGCAACTAATTTTGACAGAAGTAGTATCTCTAACTTAAAATAATATCTCTTAAAATTCTTGAAGTGAACTGGTGGGCCTTGATTGTACTTGCTGCTTTGAGGAATAACTTTCTTGGGTGCCTTACCAGATTCACAAATATAAAAATATTTTCACTATATTTACTAGGCTGATGGAGGAGAGCCTCAAAAGCTGACCATATCAAGAGAAACATTCCCACAGTAAACAGGGAATACTAGTGGTTTGTTTTGTTTTTTAAAAAAAAAAAACAACTCAAATACACATCAGGCTTTTAAACTATATCTTCTACAAAGTCTGAAATGCAGCTTTATTTCTATGAGAGATATACAAAATTAATTTCCAGCCAGAAGACTCAAACCTCTACAGAATGATTCACAAGCTGTCAAATATAGAGAAAGTATTACTGATAAAGCTAGAACTGCACAAATGTTTTACAATCACAACCACAGTGGAATCTAGGAATCTTGCATTCCCAACTATAAATTTAGAGTGCCAGGTATTTACTTCAGGATGATCACTAATTAAAAACTGTGCAGCAACGCAATCCCCACATCACAGCTGTGTTAAAGTTACAAGCACTAACTTTATTTTGGTATTTTCTTGCTGTGAAGTTGGCTATTAAAACCACTAATGAATTACTTCAGAAACATTTTTACTAAGCAACTTGTGAATTGAAAAGAATCCCAAAAGAAGGTACTATTTGGCTTTAGACACTGCAGTGAGAATAAGATAACTGAGGTGTCATTTTTGTACCCCACTCCCTCCTAATACAAAAACTCCACAAGTTGAAAGTGGGTACAGGCTGTACTATTCTAAAAAAATTAAAGTAAAATATATAAAGTCAATCCACAGAAAACACAAAGCAACAGGACACATTTGTCGTATCACTGAAGTTACAGTTTGAAAGCAATACATACAGGAGAAAAGTAGAAGAACACTGCGCTGTTGCTACTCACCAGCAATGCCTTTACGCTTTTGAAACATTGCACGATGTGGTGCAGATGGTGATGGGACTGAACTGGCCTGCTCCTGAGCATCCTGGTTTGCTGTAGTTCTTATTAATTCAATAGCTGCTTGAAGAACTCTTAACTGCAGAACAACTGCCATATCTACAGAGAAAAACATACAAAGGACACATGACATTCTTCATACAGCTTCAACAATTTTTACCAAATGTTTGTAAAAAGTAAAAAAAAGAAAAAAAACAAACACAAAACAAAACAAAAAAACACAACATGTGTCAAGAACTGTACAACTCTCAATTCCACAGATGTCAAGACAGTACACAAGTGAGTTCTCATGGAAAATCCATTGAATTTGATTATTCTGAAATAGGCTAAATAAAACTGTATAGAACATTTCCATTTAAATACACTTAGTGAACTTTTAGAGTCGCTGTTAGTTCAGATTAGCAGTACACAATTCTTTATCACCAGGCAGGCTCCTGAGGAAAACTACTATGAGAACCACTCAGAGAAAGAAGATCCATCACCAGCAAACTCCCCCTTCTCCCTCAGCAGGAATATTAATTTAAACAAAAAGCAGTGGGGAAGGGATTTACTTCTCCAGTCCCATGACCCCAAAAATAAGCAGATAACTTACTTTGCATCCTTGCATTTTTACTATTTTGAAGATGACCCAGCAGCACAATGAGATCTTCAATAACACGAAAATATTGAGAACCTGAGGAGCTGCAGGCATGAATTGCAACTGCTACCAGCAGCTGTTGTATATCGCATGCAAGTAACTTGTAGTCATTCAAGGGAATGCTGCAAACAAAGTTGTAGTTACCAGAAACATGACAATTCTAGTAGATGGTAACCCATAACAAGACCCATTACGATTCCCCTTGCTACTGCTACCAACCGTACCTAAGATTACATTGTACTTCATATAAAAGTGTTACTGCTGAAGGCTAGAAAATGGTCATCAGACATCTCTTTAGTGTTAACTTGGGCCGATTGGATGCCTGCAAATCTTTGAGACATTCTAACATTAAGATTGCAACAAAGAATTATTGGAAAACAGTGATGTATTATTATCATATTGCTAAGTTAAAGAACAAGTCTGAAATCCTGTATTTCTCAAAAAAAAAAAAATCACGATAATCTCATTTTGTAAGCATGCTGAACTGAAATTATACTGGGGTAAAAAAGAAAACTGTCTATTTCTTCAGGATACCAACTAATTAAATAAATTAACAAAACCTCATCTCTCCTTCCTTCGTTGTACAGAATGTTTGTAATTGATGAAGTCATTTAAATTACTCAAAATCTCAAATATTAAAGTTACAAGCAGCATAGTAAAGACTTTTCCTGCAGTTTTGACGTTGGCTAGACACAGCAGAATGCTACCATCTCCTGGGCTTTTTTCTTACTGTCCAGGTGAGTTATTAGGAAAGGCATCCAAACTGCACACAGTGAGACAAACTTGTATTTTAAAATGTCATTTTACTTGATAGTTTAAGGTGTGGAAAGAGCATTTTATATTCCATTGTTTGAACTGAGTATCTAAACATTAGCTTTCACTTACAGGTATAATTAAAGCTGAAAACCTCAAAAACAGTGTTATTTTGTACATGCTTTCTGACAGTTTTAGAAAGCAGAATAAACACAAAACAGTAATTTTTTCTAGACTTAAGGTTGTGCCTGGATTATTTAATAGCAACTAATACAATACTCACTTTGTTTCCAGCCCGTTGAGAGCAGCCAGTGTATTACACAACACGTAGAGCAAACCATTATCAAGCAGCAGGTCTGCAACTTTTGAGCAGGAATTTATGATTTGCAGCAGGAGACAGAAGCAGTTATGCAGCAGAACATTATCATACAGAGAGTTCTCTATAAGACCCAGAACAGGAATGACACACCATTTTTGAAAGAGTCCAACATTCTTGACATCTTCCAGATCAAATCTATTAACATAAATATAAGTGACATCCTTAAAATAGCAACCTGGTATATGCAACTGGATTACCAGTCTATGCCAGTGTTTTGGCAGAGAGGTAGATGGCAATTTTCTACATTTCACTTCAGTAACAATGCCTGTCTAAGGGAAATAAGAGCAAAATAAACATTTCAAAGAGCCACAAGGAAATTAAGTACCTAAAAAGTATATCTGAAGCTTCAGCTAACTACCAGCTCTCTACAACATAGATTTCATGAAAACAGAGGGGTTTTTTAATCAGGGTAGAAAAATGACACATCATCTTTCCAGTAGTAAGTATTACAACTGGCACAGACTTTATAAAGAAATCAGATACAGCTTGGCAGCAATATAACAATACACCGACTAACAACAGATTTGATACCCTGTATCCATTACTGCTGAAGTTTGAGTCTGGCAACTTCTGACTTACTGCCATTGTAGAATTCAGAACATTGCTTTAGACCTTGTATTACTTGCGCATTAGGAAACTGGATTACTATTCTAAGGTTATCAGCCCCATCACACAACTACTATACACAATCCTAACATTCTGAGACATTGCAATTACCTTTCCAGCCCTATAATCAATCTTGAGGAAATAAGTTTTCTGCTTTGGGGCTACCTAAGCAGCCAGGTTTAAATCCTGCAGTTAGAAGAATATTTTCTTGGGGGGTGAAGATCAAGCCAACAGCCAGAATTTGACTACAAATCCTGCAGTGGCAGCAAAGGAGCTTTTTGCAAGATTTTTGTACTGATGACTACACTTAGATGCATGTTCTTCCTGTACAATCATTAAGCAGTGGGACTAATTATACAAAATATAGTTTACCTAGACAATTGTCTGCTTAAAGATAATATTTCCTGTCAATGAGGTGGCTCTTTGGTTCAAGGAAATAGTGTATCTGTGGGATTTTCCCTAAAAGAAATAGGGATTTAAACTCAGGGCGAAGCCAAGGAAACAGCTGTGGCATCAAGCTTTTTCCTTAATCACGTACCAAAATCCAGCAGCAGAAGTCTGGCGACTACTACTTAAAACTTCTACAGATATAGCTCAGAATTTCATGTAGTATCAGAAAGAATAGGGAAGAGTTAAACTGATTACGGGACTTTTGAAGTGCAAAGGCCTTTGAGGCCCTCAGAAGGGCTGAAGGTTTAGAAGATCTCAGCTGACAGCACACATCAGATGAAGCTGCTTACAAAAAGCTTAAGGGCCATACAATAGTCATAGGAATTTTAATATATTTGAAAGTTAAAGCTACAAGCAAAACATTTCAAAACAGTTTTGAAGGAACTTTTTTATGGTTGTTGACTGCTAGGAAGCGAACAGAAATTTGAAAGCTATCACATCCTTGCCTCCAAAGTGCACTGCTTGTAGCTCAAATATTAAGTTACAGGATACAAAAGCAAAGCATTACTTACTCTTCATCCAAGCCAACAGAGCGGCCAAAGAGCATTTCCAGAAAGCACTCTACAACTTCCTGAGTCCCCTGGTGAAGGTACAGCTGGTTGGCTAGCAAGGAGAAGCCACGGTTCTTTAAGAATTTCTCCTTCTGCTCCCTCCTTGCTCTGTTGAAATATGCATCCAACAACTAAAAATAAATGCATATTTAAGCATTTAATATAACTCCCTGGAAAGTTAAGTTCTTGTCTGCAATTTGAACAATTCAAAACAAACATTTTTGAAGTTCCAGATTAAAAACACTTATTGCACTATTGTAACTGCAATCTACATTGCCTTTGTGACAACTGACAGCTGACTATCCTTTTAGTCTGAAGACTCAGGTTTTGAGCCATCTGAGGGAGATGAAATCACACACGTAACAGTTACAGAATGCATACATAAATAGATTGAAACTTTTTATACTTAAAATACTGAACTTTGGTGTGTATACAAGTGCATGCATGATTTTGGGGATCAGTTTGTTAATAAAGCCATATAATCTTATTCTTCAAATTAAAATACAAATCTACTCAAAGTTTTTCATCTACATAAAGTTATCATCCACTATCCTTGTCAAACCACAAAAAACTCTGAAAAAATTTTGAAGCCTCAAATCCATGTTCAGGACACAAATGTGTGGATGACTCCCCGGAATAACTGAAACTCAACCGCATCAGAAGCCCTAACTTCTCTTGCACATTAATTTCACATAGTGCATCATGTGCTTAACGTTGAAGAGACAGTCACCAACTTTTTGCTCTGTCACTCCTATTTACATCGGTAATGCTGTCATATGTTCCTAGGGCAGCTGGCTTAGATAACTGACTATTTATCCATTCAAAGATTCTATGTTTGTGGTGTTTTGTTGCTTTGTGGGTTTTTGTTTTGGGTTTTTTTGTTGTTTTTGTTTGTTTGTTTGTTTTTGTTTGTTTTTGTTTTTTGTTTTTTTTGTTTTGTTTTGTTTTGTTTTTTTGTTTTTTTTTAAACCTGTGAGAGTGGAAATATCTTAAAACTCAGAAGTAAACCTGGAAAACTGAAGAAAGCAAAACAAAAAATACTGACAAACTGTTTCCAACATGTTAACTATGCTAGTTCACAACTTTTTAGCTGAAAACATTTTATATAGGCCTACTTTAATGACTCCTTGTTGTATGAGAGGAGATGGGTGGTTCACAAGAACTATAAGATAATCAGGTTGGATAAGTTTGTCCATTACATCATCTAGCATGACATCTGGAAGGATTAGGAGAACTCCACGCAAGAGGTCATATAATCCACAACAGATAAGCACAAGACAGTCTTCTGTACATCTGAAAACAGAGGAATATGTTTCACCACAGTTTATTGTCTACAACAGGAAACATAAAAAAATGCATAATTGTTAGCTACTCTTGGAGGGCAGAAGGAGGAGAAAATATGGCAAACATTTCTCCAATACTTCTATAACCACTCTTCATTAACACTTATTTTTGGATGGCAGATAACAAAAAGGGTAATATGACCAGAACTACTTGCTTGAGATTTTTTGCAAGCTAGCATAACAAGTTCCCACCCTTACCAAAAATAGCAAAATTCCTGATTTCTGAAGTTTGCTATGTAAATAATGGAAAAATCGAAACAAAGTTCTATAGACTAAAAGCTTAATGAATTGGTTTATGACAGCCATTGAAAACATTACCTTAATTTTCAGGCTTCCAATTTTTGCAGAATAGTAATTAAGACCAAGAACTGTGAAGCTAAAGCTCATATACTAAGCTACTGTTAATTTATTATTTTGTTTATCTGCTTACCTGTCATCAAGGCTTTCAGACGGTTTTTGGGTATTCTCATTAGCTGAAGAAAAAGCAAGACTCTCCCAGTCTTCAGGAAGTACATTCTTGTCAGCAAAGCTCGGCCAGCGAGCAATGGCTGATGATCCTCCTCCATGAACAGAAAATGCTAAACCCAACCCTGCAAAATTAGTCTGACTCTTCTGAAATGAAGGCAGTCCTTTCAGATTATCCGGACGATGTAGCAATAGCTCAGCTGCAGCACCACCACCTTCATTGCATTTCAGGTCTGCATCATCTTCTTTACTCTCAAACGCATTTTCAGATAACTCTTTTGCAATATCTTCAAACATTTCAGCAGATGTTAACTCTGAGTCACAAACTGTGTTTGCAGACTCACAACTGCTAATAAAATGTTCTTGTACTTTCTTTATGGTTTCAGAACTTCCCACAAAACCAGTTCTACCCCAGAGATCAGTGTAGTCATGCTTGCCAATAATCTGCAGGTCATCAACACTCCTTCCCACCCTTTCAGTCAGTCTTTTTTGATGAACTTGAGGTGGGAAAGTAGGAGATGCTGGTAAACTTTTGCAAAGCCTTTTAGGTGCCCGAGAGCTTATCTTCTGCTGTACAACAGCACTGGAAGTGTTCCCTAGAGAAAAAAGGATATCTTTAGCATTCCTTCTACACTAGAAACAAGTTTTTCCCTGCAGTGTTACACTCCACATACATTTAACACAGTGATGATCCAAGTTAATTTCATATGGCAAAATTAATTCAACACCTGGTATAGTTCAGATGTGGCCAAACAAGTAGAAAGAGTAAACTATCATGCAGCCATATATTTAGCAAGTCACAAATCTGAAAGATACAGAAAATGCTAAATAATTTTTGCATATATACTGGATTTTCTGGATTTATATTATGATCCTCTCAACTAACAGGAACTTGTAACAGGAACTCTCAGCAGGAACTTGTAGCAAATCATAGAATCACTGAGGATGGAAGACACCTCTGGAGATTGTCTAGCCCAACCTCCTTGACCAAAACAGGATCAAATAGAACAAATTTGCTCTATTTGGAGCTCTTGTGTAGGAGGTCCAATCTATAAACACATTTCCGTGGATATTGAAATACTATTCACTAATCCTTTTGCACAAAGGCTTTACATGTACTTCATGTTTATAACAAATCACTGCATATTTTATTCAATGGGGCTTCCTTTTAAGTGCACATTTTGACTTCAAACAGTCAAACTTTCAGAGCACATTACAAATGTATTTCAAAAATATATTTGTAGGAGAAAAGCAGTCTATATACCAGAGTGGCAGAAGCTTTCTGTTAGTCTAGGAAAAAGAGACTTTGCTCATTCAGATGTATTTTGAAAACTATGCACCAGTTAGTATTAGTGCAATGATGATGCCTCAAGAAGTTGTTTTGGTTTTGCTTGTTTGTTTTTGTTTGTTTGGGGGGGTTTTTTGTTTGTTTGTTTGGGTTTTTTTTGTTTGTTTGGTTGGTTGGGTTTTTTAGGGGGGGGAGGTGGTGGGGGTTTTTTTGTTTGGTTGGTTGGGTTTTTTTGTTTTGTTTTTTTAATGAGATGTACATAAAGCAAATATATATGTACACACACAGAAGTGCAAACATAGCCAGACCAAGCTGGCCTTCAGACAAGAGGAAGGATCCATATAGCTGTAACAATCTTACAGCCAAGCTTGCACATACATTAGCAGGTAGTGCAACAAATTGCAAACCCAAATGCAGGGAGCAAGTTACCTAGCTAACATACCATTTTATCTAAATTTAGAAATTCAAATTCAGAACCATAACACTCAAACACCTATTTTCAAAAATTTATGTTGAGTATTCCTCTGATACGTATGAATCATCATTTTTCAAGTAGTTTGGTACTATTGATATAAAAAAGTGCTCAGTTTAGAAGAGCTAGATTTCATATATAATCCATATGGGAGAATGACTAATTCCATACACAATTTAGTACTGTGTCTGCTCTTTATATCACTGCTTTTTGTGAAAGACACTTGAACTAACACTGATTCAACTGAAGTGGCGCTTTAAGACTCAATTTGCCTTTCCTAAGCAAAGTAGCTACAAGACCTCAATTGATGATACACAGAATATAGCTAAGTCATACATGATCTGAACTATATAGCAGCTAAATTAGTTCCCACTCCTATTTTGTATATGTTGGTAAACTTGCTTTGATTATGCATTTTTAATTAGAATTTATTTCTTTGTCAATGAGCTTAAAGTCTTAAATCATGTTTCAGCTTTTGTTTCACAGGTGATTTATTGATTGCCTATGCAAATCTCTAAAAAGTATGATCAAAAAACTAATTCAATAATGATGCAAAAACCATCACAGTGACAGCCTGCCAACCAAAATTTACCAGCTTGAACTAATAACTTTACACTACTTCACCATCTATAGCAGAGGAATTAAAAACTAATTAAAGCAGTTATCTTTATAGACCTCAACGTGTTTAGCACACTACATAATGAGACTGTTTCTAGAAAACTATTAAATTTTCATTTACGCAACCAAGGTATCTAGGTTGTTCTTTATCAGATATATTTTCCCATCCTCTATCATGTGGGAACAGTATATTTATCTGCGCTATTGGTATTTAGTTATACCTTAATACTATATTTAGACGGATGTTAACAATTATGCACAAATGAAGACAAGTGTCAGCTTAGTGCTTTTTGCACAGATAGAATAGCTGGTTACAGCTCACTATATCAATACTGCCTTATTAACCAGGCATTCTCATACACGTCTAGCAGGTCTGTTTAATAAATTAAATTGTTCAGCTATCTGGTCCACTTCACTGCCTGAGCCATCAGTGTGGCAATATGTCTCAACTCGAGAACGAAGAGCAGTTTAGGTAGCATGTTCAATGCCATCCTTTTTACTCTGTCATTCAGGCATCAAGCTCCAAGGGGCAGGGGGAGCTTTGTAGTAAATATTTGTGGGAAAGTAACCCTAAGGCACTCTAGTCATCTGCCAAAGGTCTGTGTCTTAATGTCCTTGTTTTTCCAGCATTGTTTTACCTCCCAGTGCTAAAGCTGTAAATCCAGTTGGAGTTGTAATCACAAATGCAGAACTGTCTATTGACTTCCCACCACTGCTAGAATTCCTCAGGTATTTAAGTGATTCAACTTTCTCCTGAAAAATTTTGCCATCTAGAAAGAAAAGGGGAAAAGTTATATAAAAGCTTTTTAAGTTTGCATTCTTGATATATTTAGACTCATAGTAGTCAGGTTACATTTCAAGCTGATCAATGGAGGCTAGTGAGAAATGTTCAACTCACAAGCATCTGAGAAAAAGCACTTAAGAATGATTTTCTGTTTTAGTGATATATCTTAAATATTTGCTTTAGAACACTGAAAGTAGTATCATGTTCTAAAGTAATTATATTTACAGATGGTCCTTGCAGGCATACAAGCAGGAATAATTGACTTTCGGCCATGTCAAAAACAGGTGACTGTTCTCACACAGGTTCATCTAATAGGGCTCAAAGTCTCAAAAAGTGCATTCTACTATTACTCAGAATTTTATATCTATTAGTATTAGAGGACAGATACAGTTAAAAGCAACTTCACTGCCTTTAAAACTGAATACTAAAACTGAAAGTACATAGGCACCTGCAAAAGGAGAAAACATTTCAAACTTGGATGATGCTTTCCATTTTTACAAAAGTTATGGCTAAGGTTGTACAATGCTACTATTAAAGTATGAGCTATACATCTACCAGTTTCTCATTTTTTAAAAGAGCAAGAAATATTTTTTAAAGCTCCTATCAGTTACTTTTGCCAGCGATCATCTAGTACAGATATATTAAAGACAGTTGTTGCCCTAGATCTGCACCCCTCAAAGCACATAGGTACTTTGCATAATTTACATGCAATGCACTGCCAATGCCTGCCAATAATGTCTTGCCGTGCAACTGACCATTTGCTAAAAACACTCCTCAGGCCTTCTATCTTTCTAGAAATTCAGTAACAGGAAATAAGTAGAGATGAAGACAGGACCATATACACATATTTCTGAAGAAGCTTCATTTACAGGTAAGTTAAAAGTTTTTCTCTAAGATTTGCCCACAGGCAAATGCGTTCATACAGGCAGCTAATGTTACACATACCATTTAGCAGCCTCAAACTTTAAAGAAAGTTAAAGACAACCACCAAAGAGATTATCTACAGCTGTAGACAGAAGAAGGCTCTCCAAGTAAGCCAAGCAAAGTCTAACTATAACTTGTCTCAATACTGTAAACTACTTTTACTTTACTAAGGCTCCATAGTTCAATTATTTTCATATATGGTTATTACAATATGGCAATCAAACAATATTATAAGAGTGAAAGAGGGTTTTTTTTAGATAGTAATTTATGACTAGATTTTTATCTTTTTGTTTATTTCTAGTTAAATGTGACATATCTACCTATGTGCAGGGAAAAGTAGAAGTTGGTAGGATTATGACAAACATATGTATTAGTGGGAGGGTGAACAGCTAAGAGGAAATTGAAGACCAGTGTCAGCAATTCCAGGTCTGGAGGAGATCCAAGTACTTCTTCAATTATTTTCACAAATGACTTGCAAACCTCCTGAGGCAGAGATGCAAGGTGCCCTTCTTTATGCTCCTAGAAAGGAAGAGCAGTACAGCTGTAAGTTAGTTCTATTTTTAATTTGACAGAAATAGTCTTTTTTTCCAGAATCATCATGCTGTAGTAGTAGAACAGACAAGATTAAAAAGCTTAAGTAATAGAGCCTGAATTGTTTCATTTCAGGAGGAGCTACTGTACCTACTCAATGTTACCCAAGTCCAGTACACTCAAAATTCAGGTACAAACAAAATACTGGAGATGTTATACAAATTTATTTTTAGATAATTAATGTCTGCATACTATACTACTCTGACTCAACATGCTGTAGCCTTAGGACATGAATCACCATTGAAAGTGTAGTTTACTGTCATTGTATTACAGAATTGTAGAAAAATTAAAATAGTTGCTGATACTAACATTTCAAACATATTAAGAACTTTCTGAACAGTGCCACATCAGGTCTTCTGTGTTTCTGCTTCAATAGCCGTTTTTATAAACATATATATTTGAGATTTCACTGATAATTGTATTTATAATTTCTGCTTGATTGAGCATTCTATAGTTTGATAATGGGTACATGAAAAAATTTATCAACCGAACAGTGATTTTAGAACAGGACTTCAAGAAACTTGTGGGAAACCTCACTTTAATGTGAGCATGATGATTAAACTTGTTTCTAACTTCTCTAAATGTTACCTTTTTTTGGTACCCAAGCACCTTAACTGACACTGCTGTATGAAAAGAATATATGAGGTTAAACTAAGTGAGGTTTTCAAGAGAAGGGCTTATTCCATCATTCCCCCAAAAAATTGCCAAATCATTGTTGGCCAATTTGAGTAGTTTTTTTTAACTAAGGAATTAATTTTTTTTTGCAATAGCTGTCTACATTAGTGTTTGGACTCATGTGCAAAAGACAGGGAAAATACTACGCAACGTTTTGTATCTAGGTATTTGCATTAATATACAATTTTAAAAGTTAACTATACCACTAACAAGTTCCAAAAGTAGGGAATACCACAAAAATGAGGGAATTAAAATTTACAGCAGGGAAAATGATTAAAAGACACATTTAAAAAAATCATTAGAGGGAAAAACAATAAATGCATTTCATATCTTAGACTGAGAAACTCAGAATAAAAAGAAGTGTAAGATAGAAAATACGGTGTTTAAAAAAGGGATTAGAAGACATATTTTCTCAAACCAGTATGTACTATAAGGAGGAAGCCATTTCAAAACCATGTTCTTAAGAAGCATCTATGAAAGGGCTGAAGCGAAGCACTTCCCTAAAGTCCTTTTTAGAACAGCTATTTCCATGCCATGGAAAAAGCTACTACTGGATCTATAACTTTGAACAGAGTACTCAGATTAAGCCCTACAGGCCAGGTGCTTTATTACCTCTGGTGAGATACAGAACAGTTTCTGCTACTTGCACAGTATTTGTACTTTTCAGCAATGAAGACTTGAACTAGTAAGAGACATCTCCACTCTTTATGAAAGGGTCACAGTTAATTTCAGGTCCTACTCATGTATGGATTGGGCAAGTAACCTAGTGCCTACATTTTCAAATAGTACCAAAAAAGTTAAAATCTCATGCCCTTTCTGTCTAGCAGGAAATAGAGCACCTAACAGGGAACTGTATCAGTTCACAGCAACAATGCCAGCTGAGGAAGGTGAAGGGGTTCTGGATGTGCAGCCTCCTGCAGTAGTTTTTCCTACAGCATTTAGTCCAAGTAAAACTGAGTTTTTGCCAAGCACGAAGCAGGACTTCAGAGCAAAAATACCTGCAGAACCTGACAAGTTAACAGGAAGTGATGCACCACTTGAGCTTTCAATAGCTGCTTAATGTTAAACATCTGTTGGTGATGGTTCGCTCTGATCAGGATTTCTAGGGCTGCTAACAGAGATTCCCAAACACCTTGCTGAAAAAAACAAAAACAAAACAGGAGCATGGCTTCAAAAATATATTTCCAAGCTTACACACTGAGGAAAAACAAACAAACAAAACAACAAAAAAAACAAACAAGAAGTTTAGGAACATAACCAAGTCAAGTTATTTTTGCATCTAAGAAAAAGACTAAATGATAGCAAATCATCAGGTCAGAACTAGAAGCTATCAGAAAAATTATGCTCAAAGTTAAGTGTATTTTAATGATTAAGGTACAAAAAAATTACTTCTTGTCTAAAACTAGTGTATACTCTATGCTCTATTGACACTGGATGGTTGTTTTCAACAATTTAACTCCGGAGGGAAGTAGGTCTTCCTCAGTCTTAAGTTTCCCTAAAAAAATTAATCCATTCAACTAACAAGTCATTTACATATATTACATTTACAGAATTTAATACACTAAGGCTATCAGCATCATTGATAATGGCAGCTTGATGCTACTACCAGCTATTCAAAGAAAATAAGGACCATTAATTTTAGAAAATTTTAGTAATTACAACGAACTGGAGAAATTAGTTTCAGACCTCAAAATATCACTTTTTTTAAAAAAATATTGACTTTTAGACTTAAAATCTTTTCAAGATGAAAGTAATTACCTTTGCTTTAGACCATATCTTCCAGTCAAGCAACAGCTTTTCTAACAACTGAACATCTTGGATAACTGCTGCAGAATCTGTGTCCAGCACGAATTGCCCATTTTGATTTATATAGAGAATCTCATCACTGCAACATCCTTCAAGGAGAGTCTTCAAAAGGGGGAAAAATTTTTTTCAATGTCATAAGCACAAAGCAGTACAGGTGTCCTATTCAATTTATCAAAAAAAAAAAAATCTTTAAAAGATATACCAAACTCTTGATAGGGAAGACATATCTACCTGGTTAACTTTGAAAATAGTTACTGAATTTAGTAACCCCACTGGAGATACTTAAGAGGATTCATTCTTATATACCAGTATATTTTTTTTTTTTAAATATTAAGTGCAATCAAATATTTTTATTATTTGCTTACAAGTTTAAGCTTAGTTGAAGATCTTTGCTCTCAGAGAAACAAAGTTGCTTTTCTCCCACCCCCTAACCTCCTCCAAAATCAAGGTCTTTCAACACTTTTTTTTCTGCCCCTTATGAACCAGGAGTTTCTAGTTTAAGGCAAAACACTCCTAGACCAAACTTGCTCCAAATCACTGTTCTGCCTTTGTGAAGACAGATTCAAACGTATGATTAAAATCACTGAGAAGTTTCTAAATTTGTGTTAAAACTGAACAAAACACCAGGTTTAAAGAGCACTCTACCTTCAGCATGCAAAATCCAACAATACATTTTGGTTTGATCAACACTCGATGAATCATAGAATAACCATTACAATTGTCCATCTCCTGTATTCGCTGTTGATTGTATTTTGTTAAAGATAGTATAAGTTGTAATGCTAAAGCTTGAGTGTCTTCACAGCTGCTAATCTCTACAACCTGAAAAGGCAAATTTAAAAGTTTAAATGAGAAACATTTAGAAAAGCAGCCCTAAAAATTCTGTTGTTAAATTATAACATCTGGATTAAATCTGTTCTAAAGATTCTGAGGTTATGTACATAACCTTAATTTTTGCATATGTGTGTACATTATATCTGAAGTGATAATTCCTTCTGTGGTAGTAAATGATGATCTGCTAAGAAAATAAAAATCCGACTACAAGAATCCCTTTTTAAGAAAAAAAAAAAAAAAAAAAGGTGTTCTAAGTAAAATTTAAGTACAAGGCACTGAGTTATTCTTGCTATACCACAAAGTCACAAGGTCATGAAATACATAAGCCACTAAGAATAATAAACTGTGTTTGCCCTGGATAAGTATGTTTCCTAAATATTGAAGGAGAGCTTTAAAATTAAGGCTCATGAAAGTTTAGACTATCTCTACCTGGAAGTGTCAAACATTAAAGTTTTATTTTGTCCGTAAAGACAAGCAATTTGATAGATGAAGACCATGGACCATTCTTCACACTCTGCTTCCTACAATTCTTGAATCCCAAGAGACAGCAAACAGTATCTTTAGTAAAAACGTACAAGAAGAAAATCTCACATTAATGGAATTTCAGTTCCCAGAGGTTCTCTTGCTGTGAACCTGTTAATTCTGCTGCACTTAGTTATACACATGTAGTATACATGTATTGTCTGACATGTGATCTATTGTTTGCTTGTTTCACTAATGCCCATAGTCTAAAGCAAGATCTTTAATACATACTTAGCATAAATTTATGTAATGCAACAACATGAATAGATATTTTTTTTCCTCAGATTTCACTATCAATGTTAAAATTGTAACAGACAGTGTCTTCATAACCAGAAGTCTGAACACCTGATTGTCTCTAGCCTAATTGCACATTGATTACTCTCCACACACCTTTCAGAACCAGAGACATATAAAAACAAACAAGTTTAAGGCCTGCATTAGTATTTGGAATTAACTGTAGTACTTCAGAGACTCCTACCACAAATATTAGCCTCTCCATGTAAAGGTCACAGTTAAGTAGTAACTAAGTTAAGGCTCATACCCTAATATTTTTGAAATCATTTTTCTTAGAATAAGCCTTTGAACATGGCTCAACAGATCTCAAAAAAGCTCCCACTATTAGATAAAATTAAAGCTCTGCACACTACACAGTTTCACATTTATTCATACCTGTATGGTAAATAGCCTGTGTTTAAGTGTTAAAGATATGCAATTAAAGTGCCTTTAAAAATTAGAGACCAAAAATACAATCAGTTCTACGACACTCCTAAAAATAATCTCTTTTGACATTTAGAAGCCTCATATCTCAATCAGAATGTAACATCACACCTTATATACCAGCAATATTATTAAAAAAACATAATAGAATTATAATTAAATTTCCTATCATGCATATAATGCATGATGTAGTCTGTGTTATGCCACAGGTATTTTCCACAAATTTTATTTAAGAAAAAGAAATCACATGCTGACTAGAGCAAGGTAGCTAGAGTATGTGATTTGCTACCCAAGATACAAGGAAAATTTTATACAGGAGAACACATACACGCTCCCCCATCCTCCAGCCTTCTTACCCTAGCAAAGAGAAAAACAAATGCACCAGTTCCTCCAATTTCATGTAGTATACCCTGAAGAGTTTTATATTCAACAGGCTGAAGTGTTTTCAGGTGATGAGAATCCAATGCATTGCTCTGAACTTCTTTTGAACTGAAAGGTCTCTGAGATGGTACAGTTTTCACTTGACCTTTCAGTCTAATTACAGGTTCATATATGGTGTACTGATCAGGGCAGCACGTGGTATAAACAACAGCAAGACTCTCCTGAAACAAGAGAATATTATAGGGTTTTTTCCAAGAAAGTTTAATACAAAAAAAAAAAAAACAACACCAAAACCCCCCCCAAAAAAACAAACAAAAAACTAAACAAACCACACCCAACAAAGACACACACAAAAGCCATCTAACAGCAAGTAGCAGCAACTTTGGCAGTTCATTTCTATTTTACCGTTAGCATGCTCTTAAGTTTCGTGTGGATGCATGTGCACTAAAATGCAACAGGATTCATAAGTTTTAGCAGATGTATGCAATTGCTACAGTACAGAAAGTTAAGAAAGCACTAAGAAATTCCACCAAGGATCCCCCCCTCTTATGTGAGGAATGATAACTATTTTGTATAAAAACAATGTTACAGACAAATTTAAAAGAAAATTAGTATACAGATGGATTGGTCAATTTCCCTCTCCCAAGTGGCAAGTCCAAAAGAGAAAGTTATCCACTATTTTTTCAAAATCACTCCTATTTTGTTTTAAGTCTATCCTTTAATCAGCTTTGCCATAAGAGGATCTCAATAGAGTAAGTTTTATTACTGATGAAAAGACTTAGACCAAACCCAAAGCTCCTACAGAAAGTAAGAGACCCATTTTCACAGAAAATGTAAAATAATCATGTTTGGAATGTTATTTAAAGTAGAGAGATAATTACATTTAAGATACCTGCATTCTATGCAAAAGCAAAGACATTAATTCATCATTGAGCACATCGTAGTTCTCTCTGGTTACTTGGTGGTTTTGTAAGGCAAGATAAGCTTAGAAGTTGCATGACTAATTTGTTAGGCTTTTTACTTACTCCACTCTTTCCTTCTTAACCTATTCAAAGTTTAGTACCGTTGCTTACAAGGATCACATACAGACAGAATGTCCCTTTGCCTACAGCTACAGAACTGCTGTACAACAAGATCAGAAAAATCCCTCTAGTGGAAACAATTCACACAGCAGGAATTACCACTGCATGAAGACAATTTCCCAAATACAGCAGGCTCCACTTAAAATTTTTATTTTATTCTTTTTCTAGTGTAATTACACTTACACCTGCATCTGGCATGGCTGTTTCTGTCAGAAAAGATGAGAAAAGCTAAGATCTGCCAGATGAAAAATGACTTTTCAGCCAAACTTGATTCAAACTTACTCCCTCAAAACCCTCAAAGAACTGGGATGAAGTCTTTTGCTTCCTGTTAAAGCCAGATAAATCCTCTTTTCTCCTCTCCTCACACTTCCAATATTGAAAGGTTAACTAAGCTGCCCTTAGCTACCTTTACACTAATTGAAAGAAGAGCTATGTATTCTTTCTAGGGCAGTTGGAGGTGCCTACTTATCCGATAAATAAATAAGCAGTACTATAGATGGTAGAACATCTAGAAGTTGTCAGAATCCAACGAAAAGCAAGATGAAATGGTCACCCCGTGTGGAGTACAACTCCCACTGAAATAAGTGGGAAGAACCCCGCAGTGATTTTAATGAGAATTGGATTTGCTCCTGCCTGCTTTGAGAAAGTGAAGCACTTTGGGAGACAGCAGGAAACGCGTTACCAGTTTCTTAATCAATTTTAAGAGATTAAGAACTATTTTTAAGTAGCAACTTACAATTAAAGGCCCAACATCCACTTCCTTTTTTGCCATGAAGAGCTCCTTAATTTGTTCACACTGTAGAATCTCTTTACTTATGTACTTAGAGCAATCAGACAATGTTTTGCCATATTTACAGGGCATTACAGATGTGAAGTCTGGCCCACATGTGTATAAGTAAAATGCTTCCTCTGGTCCAATCTTTGCACCTAAAATCCAGAAAAGAAGCTGTTAACTCTTTAGTATATAATAAAGCAAAATTAATACACTGGCTAGTAGACTGCATCAGAGACTTTACAAGGAAGATCCCTGGCTGGTTTTCATAGGCTCTGCTGATGAAAAACAATCAGTTCAGTCCAATGCTTGCTATTAGCTACTGTGGATCAGTGACTTCTGACACATCACAGGCCAGATGAATTCAGTGGCAAAGGGAACTGAAACTAAGTCAGGAAAATGTCCCCGTGAAGACCAACAGCTGTGAATAATCAGTTACACTTTTTAAAGTTGAAGAGTCATCTATTCAAGCCTCCTCAAAGTTTTCAATCTATATCAAGATTACAGACAGCAACAACATGCTACAACGTCATGGACAGTTGGGTAGAGTGACCCAAGAAGGATGCAACAACAAAAGCTCACTACAACTAACAGGGAGTGAAAAATAAAAATCTGTAGTATGTAGAAGGCCAAACAAACCTCCCTCCCATTTCTGGACAGCACATCTCAGGTCATCTGTTTGTGAGAACGCAAAAAAAAAAAAAAAAAAAAAAAGAAAAATCAAGAAAAACATCCTGAAGAACCCAAGCCTGTGACTGTGATGTGTACAGGTGCATGACAACTGTGTAACAGTAAATCCAGTGCTCTCGGGATACATCAGTTACCCCGGCTGTAGGCATGTGGCAGTCAGACCATGTAGATTCACCAGGTGGAGCTCACATTTATGACATGCACCTCACCTATAGCCTGCACAGATACACTATACCTGCACACATCACACCTGCACACACCACACACCCTGGCAAACTGACTTCATTTGTGCAGTAGTCCTGGCTGGGCCACTGCCCATTAAGATATGCCAGCTGACGACCAGCAGGGTTCCAGCCTTCAGCACTAAAAGCAAACACCCAGAAGCCATGGACAAAACTTTCCAAGGAAGGAGAATTATACACTTAAGAATAACCCAAGTAACTTCAGGAGTTTCAGAAATAATCATGCTTAACTTGGGGTATTCAGTAGTTCAGATTGTGTTTACTTTTTAATATGCTTTAAGTAATTTGAAACTAGTAGTTTAGAAGCAGGTAAGTGAAATCCATTTTTCACCTAGGAGAGATTAAGTGCTTAAAGAAAAGAAACAGAGCAAGTACTACCATCTGTCTATCCCCTACCACAAGGTATTATTTTTAAAGACATTTAAAGAAATACTAAAGAAACTAGAATTGCCAATTACGGCACTAAAAAGAAAGCAAGAGAATAGTGGCAAAAGGGCGCATTAAGAAGTACCCAATACGGAAACATTCACCTACTTTTTCCCTGATACATTATGCTGGTATAGAATGTATTGTTGCTTTTACTGTAAAAGCTTGGCATGTTAAAAAATAAAAATCAAATTAAGCCTTTGGTCTTAGAGGGGAAAGAAGAAATGAAGACTTATTCAGGAAAAAAAGCATACAAAAGTACCATTAAATAGAAGCAGATTTCCAAGATCCCATCTACCCGACAATCGAAGCAATTCTTCTTGAGATGATGTACAATGGCCAATCATACAAAATGTTTTATTGCTGTCAGATGATAAACTTGATTTCCTTGGTAGTGCGTAATCTAAATTAATCTCACATTTCCTAAAAATGCATATAAAGAAACAAGTTTAAACATTAGGAAGTGATCAAAATTGTTATCTAAGGTAACCAGCTAAGGCTTAAAATAGATTTTAGTATTTAATAGATGAGAAACCATGCTGTTATTAACATTAAATTACTAAAGCAATCTTCAACATTTAGGCACCTGACAACTCAGTTACATGATGATGTATGTATTCAAATACTGCACAAAGAATAAGAGAGTCCCAACTAGGGTTGCCATACAGTCAAGATTTCCTAGATCTGAAATTCCTTCCTTCTTCCCTCTGACCGCAGAGAAGAAACTGTATAAAACACTACACCCACTTGTAAAATATTACAATTTTTCACGAATTTGTCCTGTTCCTAAAAAGTCAAAGGCCTCTGAATATGCTAGTGTATATCATGAAAACTGTGGTTCACATAGGCTGGAAAACACCATGCTGAGGATTTGCTTATACCAGGAAACACTGTCAAAGCTAGTGTGCTGTACAGCCACAGGCAATAAGCCTGCTGCTTTCAGAAAACGTCCAATTAACCTTATGCGCATTTAAATAGACAGACCAATTGGACTGTAAAGGTCATCTGCAGCTTCCTGGAAGAGCCTAGCTATTAGCAAATTGGCAACTAACTCTACATATAGAGTGGCCACATTCACTGCACATGTGCAAAACATTGTAGTATTTTTAGTTTCTCCTGTATCTCCATATTTGGACTTTACTGCATATCAGGATACACAGACTAAACGATGGACGATGGAAGAGAGGAAATCAAGTTGCTTAAAAGTTAACTCCCTGTAGTTTCAAGAAAAGTGAAACAAGTATTATATTTTACAGTTCCAGGCTTAACTGCAGAAAGAAAAAAATGTGCAACAGCTTTTTTCCTAGATAGAGTTTTAGGAATGGCTTTAATAACATTGCTTGTTTACTGACCAAATCCTAGAGGAATAGTAAAGAATTTTTGTGATATATATAATTGTTTTACAACATAGCATTTTGACCACCCGCTTCATATTTGGGACACAAAGGAAGTCTTCGTAGTCTGGACTTTAGGAAGAAAGGATTAAGAACTGTGATATCTAATAAATTCCTTTTTCTCTAACCAATGAATATTTCATGCAGGCACAGGCACGCCCAGCCTAGCATCAGGGACTTCATTTAGAACCATGGACCTTAAATTTTCAGTGGAAGAAGTAGTACTTCCCACTGCCAGTGCAGATCTTGCCTGAAATGTTAACTTCCCCCCTCTCCACTTCTCTCATTGGAGCAAAATGACTGATTTCTCTCCATCTCCTCTTCATTCCTACTTTGAACAATATTGCCAGTACCTGAACTATATCTCCTTGATTTGGATTTTTAACTTAACCAAAGACATTATGCCTACTGCTAACATCATGCCATAGCTTTTTTTGGATCTTACTCAAAATCTTGTACTTATCTCTTTCACTTAAAGGCGATGAAGGAAAACACTGATGTCTGCATTGGTCCATGGTATGAACTGAAGATTCTCAAAGCAACCAAGACAACTCTGGACATTTCTAGGGAATTCATAACGGTTTAAGACATTCCTCTCCTACCCCCAGAAGACTACTCAATCATAACTTCAGCTTGCACCAAAATAGTGCAGATGTTTTCCTACATCTTTTTAAGATAAATACCAAGGTACAACTAACATTCTTTACCTCTGACCAGAAACCCACAGCAACAGCTTTCCATGGATATTTTTCTTGCCTTCTGGCTGCTGCAGATACGTTATCGCCAAATGTTGCCACCTGCCCACAAGGAAAACATTCTCTGGAGATTCAGCCTGTGCCAGCAGACCAGCTTTCATCTCATCATTTGGATCCATGCACATACTATGAAAGCAACAGAAAAACAAGTGTGCGTTTGTTTTCAAATTTGTATTTTAAGCCCTAAATCTGCAATTTTTTGGCCTCAACTAGAGATTGCATTTCTTAAATTTTACAGATAATTTTATCACAATGCTACATTTATAGTGCTCAACATGTGTTCGGAAAATCCTTACATTATGGTTTCAACTTAGTTATTTAACTTGTTTGGCATGAATCTGCTTACACTTCAGCTAAGGACATAATCTATATTTTACAGAGAAGCTAAATTCAATTTAGTGAAAAAATGCAGGTGCTTCGAATGCCATGAAAGTGTTCTAAAATTGCAGCTTTAGACCCACTTTAAGGATACACTACTGAGAACTAAAGTAGGGCTAAAATATGTTCAGAAGATTAAAACAGAAATTGTTGTAGTATTAAGTAACAGCAATTTTCACACCTCAGGTGTGAAAACCTACAGCTACAAAAGCTTTTGCTTATCTTCACACATTTATTGTGTCATTTCATTAACACTTGAATTGTTACCCTGCACTGCACAATTATGACTGATCTGGCATCTTTGGGTAATTGTTTATACATGAATACATGAAACATGCAAGACCAGAAATTAACCGTTTAAGGTAAACCTGTAGATCTGTATGCTATAAACTTACTTGATGTTGACATCAGTGTGCAAGATGACTCTACTATAGAAATTAGTTCTCTAGTCTCCCCCAGTACTCTCTGCAAGCAACAATACATATGTTCACAAGACTGCTTTTGGACTAATACACCATACCGAAATATGAATGCTCCAGTGTTCAAGTCTGCCCAGATTTGTATCATCAATGCTTTGGAACCCAGTGAAATTATATGAACACAGCCATCTTCAACAAGTTTATCTCCCAGGCTTAGGTATTCCATTCCTATAGACTTCATTTCATCTAGAAATATAAACATGTTTATACACACTTACAATACAACAACAATGCCTGTCACACCAGCTATTAAGTGTGAAAAGAAATAGTTCAGGTACTACCGAGAATGGAGGGTTTTGTCTGTTTTTTCTCTCCCTGCCCCACCCCTCCCCTTTTTTTTTTTTAAAAAAAAGTGAACTGACTAATATGCATGGTTTTCTTCAGAGACCTAGGTCTCTTATAAACTGAAACAGAGGAGCTCAACATTAGCTCAGCACTTCACATGTTTTTGTTTGTAATCATGTGAAGCCATGAAGCATGAATACACTCTTAATTCAATGATGTTTTCAACATGCCACATAATATTATGTTCCCCTGTTGACCTGGAAGTCTTAGTGTGTACCAAGAAATCTTTAGATTTTTCTTCATGAATCATATTACCCTTTAAGCATGATCTTGCATTCCATATTTTTATGTTGCCAAGCAAAAGCACAGACCTAACAAAAGCAGATCTTGTGAGTTCCAAGATTCAGGATTGGGTTTTCCCTCCTTTTATTCAAATACAGTAAAGAACTAAATAGGATAGTAAAAGGTATTCCAAGTGTTATGATTGGGAGGCATTTTAAATAACTTAATGAATTTTTCCTCCTACAAATTATAATCCAAAAGGTTCTTCTCAAAAGAGTTTGGAAGCAGGTGAGTCTCCACAAAAGTATAAACAGAGAAACATCATATAGCTATTGACATTTAGAATGGTGCACACACAAGGAAAGTTAGAGGGTTTATACTGAGTCAGTTTCACGCTCTGACTTAATGGATTCAGAGCATCTTTTAGCTAAGAGTTCCAATATTTAAATCCTAAATCACAGATATTTACTGGCTCTCTATTAAAGAAACATAAAAGCCCCTTGCTTCACCACTACATGAGACCAAATAAAATTGAGAGCAGTCTCTTCCCATGATGTTCCAACTTCAGTATTTTCTTCATCATAACGTGAAATAACATAAAGACATTTTACTGAAGTTACGAACTCTTGAGAGTATTCTCAAATGAGAATGCTAAATTTCTAAGAAACCAGGCATTAATTTAACTTAAGGACTAAGGCTGGAACTGTTTTAAGTATATGATACAGTAACTCAAAGAAAAATCAGAAAGACCATTCCTGTTTAATATCCATCATAAGAAAAAAAGTTCAACCTTTTGTATATGGCATGTCAATTAGTAATACTTGTAACCAGAATCCTTCAGTGCTACCTGAATAGAAACAGGAAGTACTATATTCTCACCTGTGCTGTCAAAGCTGTTCTCTCTTACAGTTACCAGTCTGCTTCTTCTTTTGACTTTTTTTCCCTTTTCTGTTGAATTTTCTGCTTCATGAGCACATTCCAGATGAAACCACAGTGAGACACTGAAGCCTTCAGACATGTGTGGCCAACAGTTTTGTCCAACTAAAGGCAAGTGAATCGGGGCAACATGCCAAGAAGAAAGCACCTGGTGACTCAAGTTTTCACCATCTGCCTCTTTCTTACTCTGTGAAAATTTTGCTCTTTTTAATAGTCCAGCAGTTTTGCTGTTGGAAGTGCTAGCAGATTTTTGTAAAGAACTACTACTCAAACTTGTGCCATGTAACAAAGGGAAGGCAAGGTACTGTAACGGGTTCATATAAATATTAGTTTCTATAATCTTCAATACACCCTTGAGTAGTATCTCCTAGAAGAAATAAACCAAACAAATCAGAAAAAAAAATAATCAAACTGTTTACATCACATCGTCAGGTGTCATCTACCTAAACAGAACTCCACTCTTCATTTAAACTTGGATTCATGTTTTCACAGAGGTGGACTTCTACATCCAAACTTGCACACATTTACAAAGCATGAAATAGCAACTTCAACAGACTATGACCCAACATTTTTGGGGATTTAGTCAGGGCAGATCAGTCTTGAAGTTACCATGCTTAGGAATCAACTGAACCACAGCAGGTGGTCACTCCACTACCTTATCTCACATTTGTTATGTGCTAACAGATTAAGTTATACCTCAGTGGAAGACCACACCTTTCTCTATTTACTTAGCCAACTATTGCAATCTACCTTTGAAAAATCTGACTTGTGTCTCCTTGTTTGGTCTGGTACCATTTCAGACTTCACAGTATTTTTTTATTTCCTTCCACTTGTTTATTCTTATCTCCTGTTTTCTTTTCACATTTTGAGAATGAACTATTTCAACAACTACATTTTGTTTGCTCTGATCAGTTAGATCAGATCCCAAAATTCTTAGACACAAAAGGATATTCTTTTTGCTACGTTTTTCTCATTAAGCCTCTGAATTTTGCTATGTGCCACTCCATACATACCGTACAAGGTGTCTTCTCCAAAAATATCCTCAGAAGAAGAGTTAGCTCTTCTGAGCATGTCTGTGAACTCATCAAGGAAACTAACAGGTCTACCAGCACCATTTGACATGCTAAAAATAACGAGACAAAATATTCTTGAAAATAATTTCTTAAAAGGTTATAAAATTTTTGTTCTGTACTATTATGAGAAAAGATTAACTTGGAATTCAGAGCATTTTGCGAAACATTTCAAATTCAGGAAGCAGTAATGATTAAAAGATGAATTCCAGAGAGATTCAACTACTTTGACACTATCGTTCAAAATTTCATTGAATGAATCGAGATGGCTACACCAAGTCTGGCAAAGTGGTTTGCAAAGTGGAGTCTGAAAGTCTGGGTACCTAGATTCTACATTGCTAAGGCTATCCCCACAAAGCCAGCGATCAAAGTCCTGGGATGGGTTTACATCATCTCCTGCTGTGCAGCAATCTCACTGTACTTCAGGGCAAGGATTTAATTTGCTTCCACGTTTGTGGATTAGCCAGCTGTTTTCTGATTAGAAATAAAACACAATCAAGACATCACTAAGATGTGTGGTATAAAGAAAATTGAAATAAAAACTTATGTTGTGATGGAGTCAGATTCAATCAGGAAGATAACTGCTATTTTTCCAAACAGCGTTTGTTAACACTGACACCCTAGGGTTTGCAATTTCAACTATCATTTTCAGATCTGCCAGCATATGTTTAAATAACAGATTTCCACTAGCTCAGAAATAACCGTGTGTTTACACAACTTGTCAAAGTCTTTGTGAAGCAGCTGCATAAATTCACACATGCCAATGAATTTGCTTTGTCCATTTTGCATTTGCATTTTGAACTAAGAATTTGAATCTGTATACATTAAGTTATGAAAAACAACATATAAGTTACTTAGACCTGGAACTCACCACGAAAATTAGATTCTGTTTGTGTCAATATGTTCAGAAATCCTCCCAAAAGGTGTTTAACAGCTCCCTGTTAAACAAATCCAGGGAAAATTGTTAACTGAAGAATATACACCAGCTCAAAGAACTAAGAAATAATTTCTTCCAATCAGTTCTTGTCTACTATTGATTTTAAAATAAGGACAATTCCAGTTACTTTAAATTATGGAAATATTTTTTTATATTTGCTAATGAATGTCCTTTTACGTTCTGTACAGTTCTGTTGCAGAAGACAGACTCTGAAATCCAAATTATTCTAGAAAAAAAAACCTTTGAGCCATTATCAGTTCAGCAGCCGAGATATCCCTTGTCTTCTCCCCATAACAGAATTACAGGATTTGAGGAGTTGTAACCAAAACCAGCACGTTGGTATATACTGATGCAATACTGAAAAGTAAATTCAACCTTTCCTCAACCTTTTTACGCAAGATTAGAGTGATTACAAAAAAAAAACCCAAGCCATGTGCTTAAGAGCATCCTTCACAAATGCAACTTAAAGGTAATTTGAAAAAATCTCATTGAAGATAGTAAAAAAATCTCTAAATTGATTAGTTTGATAGATTGTTCTTTCTAAATTTTATCAAAGAATAATGAAACAGAGCTTATTTTGAATTATAAGTAATTTCATTAGTTGAAGTTCAGAAAAAAGTAGTATATGTGTGCTAGTGATTTAAAGCTAATAATTCACACAAAGAACCGGAGTACTGAAATAAAACAGTGTTTTCCCTTCCTGCTTTTAGTTTAAGTTGGAAAGCGCTAACTTTGCTTCTCAGTCAAATTATTACATAAACACGCATTTTAAGCTTAGATTACTTAACCATATTTTCCTCTTGCAAGAGGCATACTCAATTTAGTTATTAAAAAGCAAAACTAAATAATAACTAAAGGATCATGAGGGCATCAACATGTGCACAACATTTCTAATGTAATCTTAATAATAAAAACATGAAATATTTGAGACACATCACTGAAAGTTTCTAAAAGTACATATTGAATACATATAAATTTAGAATGTTTACATATATACATATACAAGAAGATATTTGCTTTTTTGTTTTGCCTTTTTTTTCTTTTTCTTTTCAATGGCCTGACAGACATTAAGTGTGTATCTGTAGCTCTAGTGATTGAGCAGTCTTGATAAAATAAGGCAACTGTGAAACTCTAAAGCTTTGTAGGTCACCTATCTTTCAATACATTAGTTAACTATAGTTTCTGGTAACAAATGCAATGCAGCTGTCAATATCAGTCATTTTCATTGTTTCAGGTCTTATCAAGTTCAGTAACATGAGAGAATAGTTATGAGATCACTATTAGGTACACTGCTGCTATAAAAACAAAGATACACAACTGCTAGGACATTGTCTTTAATAACATTTTTACCTGTTCTATAAGTACAGTGGCATTTCTCTCCTTCTGGCTGATGATTTTCAGGCAGCTTTGGAATACGTGAGCAAGCACATCTAAACTTGCATTACCAGCTGAGAGCAAGTTTAATTCTAACATGCAGATTTCAGGATACATTAATTCTCCTTGATTGATGCTTTCAGCTAGGTCATTAAAATAACTCGAGAGACCAGTACATCCTGGTTCTGACTTTGTATCTGCTCCTGAAAGAAAAAACTTCTCTTACAGAAACTTACTCAGCTGAATACAGTGTGCATGATTTAATCAGAACATCCAAGGACATAGTTTCTCCAACCTTCTCATAGGTACAAGCCAAAAATAGTTACTAGCTTAAAAATAGTTTTCAGAAATTAGTATAATCTGCTATTCTGCTTCAGATTTTCATATTTTCCTGCTAATACAGAAGGGCAAGGATGCAGTTTCTCCCATCACATGGTCTTAAACTATGTGCCTTCATTTCCAGGGAACTGGACATACACAGTAATGATGAAATATACAATTCATGAAACATGACAGTAAAACTATTGTAATAGAGTCTCAAGCTTCTATACAGAACTCTGAGCCTGCCAATAGAGAATATAAATTGAAATGATTTTATGTTAAAAGGTTGGAAGAAACAGTTGTTCAGTTATTTAACTAAGAAAATGCAGATGACAGAATACCTGCATGACAATCAAAAAAGAAAAAAAAACCCTATATTTAAGATTCTCTTCTTACAGCTTGGAGAGACTTTAAAACACATTACTTAAAAAATTATTTGGTGCAGACATACATTTCATGTAAATATTTCAGGTTAAATTAATTCAGAAATGCTTTTAAAACGTTGTGTAAGTGTTGATAAAGCCTTGTCACACAGGTAAATAGCAACAGTTGAATGCAGTTCTGTTAAAGGCTGTTACTGCTCACGCTGACCTCATACAAGAGCAGATGTTCAGCACAAAGAAAAAAGTCAAAGCAAATTCATGTTCAAAATTAATTACACAAACAGAATACAGCAAGAGATGTGCATACCAGTCATTGAATGACTCCAGAGAGATACATTCCATCACAACTCAAATGAAGTATGCAATTGGAAAAAGCCAGCACAGATGCAAGGGCAAATTGTGCTTGGCAAACCTGATCACTTTCTACAACAAGTAACCTGCTTGGTTGATGTGGGGTGAGCGGTGGACATTGTCTACCTGAATTTCTCCAAGGCTTTTGATATGGTTCCCTGCAGCCTCCTCCTAAATTGATGTGTTACCATCTAAACATCTGATGCGTTATGGTCTAGACAAGTGGTCTGTGCAATGGGCGGTGAACTGGCTGCCAGGCTGCACCAGGAGGGTGGTGGTCAATAGCTCCTTTTCAAACTGGACACCTGTCACAAGGTGGGTCCCCCAGGGGTCAATATTGGACCCAACACCGTTTCATACCTTCATAAGTGCTCTGGATGATGGGACCAAGTGTACCCTGATGAAGTTTGCCAATGATACCAAACCGAGTGGTGAAGTGGACACTTCGGAAAGGAAAGCCACCCTTGCAGGAAGATCTGGATAGGCTGGAAGAGTGGGCTAACAAGGACCTTGCTGAACTTCATAAGGCTGGGTGTATGGTCTTGTACCTGGGAAAACAGAATCCAGGAGTACAGCACAGGCTGGGGTCTACCTGGCTGGGGGGGCAGCTCTGTGGAAAAGGATCTATCTGGGGGTCCTGGTGGACAACAAGCTCAATATGAGTGAACAGTGTGCTGCTGCAGCAAAGAAAGCCAGTGGGATGCTGGGTTGCAGCAACAAGGGCATCACCAGCAGAGATGAGGAAGTCATTATCCCACTCTACTCAGCACTTGTCAGGCCACACCTGGAATACTGTGTTCAGTTTTGGTCCCCACTATACAAAGATGATGTGGCCAGGCTGCAGAGGGCCCAGAGAAGGGCCACAAAGATGATCAAGGGACTGGGAAGCCTGCCATGTGAGGGAAGACTGACAGAACTGCATTTGTTCAGCCTCGAGAAGGCTTAGGGGAGACCTTATCACCATGTTCCAGTAAAGGTGGCTACAAAGAAGATGGAGGCTCCCTTTTTACAAGGAGTCACCTGAAAAAGACATGGGGTAATGGGTACAAGTTACTCTTGGGGAGATTCCAATGCACAAGAGGAAAATTTTTCACACTGAGAACAATCTGCCATAATAACCTCCCCCAGGGAAGTGGTGGATCCCCCAACACTGGACACTTAAGATTCAGCTGAGCAGGGTGCCAGGCCATCTTGTCTAGACTGTGATCCTGCCAAGAAAAGTTGGACCAGATGATCTTTGAGGTCCCTTCCAACCTGGTATCCTATGATTCTATGATTAATTAGACTATGTAATTTTTACCAGACTACTAGAATACTAAATGAAAAATTGAGCACTGATTTTTGTCCTGGTTTCTACTGGGATAGAGTTAATTTTTATTCTTAGCAGCTAGAATAGCACTGTGTTCTGGATTCAGTACGTGATTTGGTATAAGAATGCTGATAACACACTGATGTTTTCAGTTGTTCCTGAGAGATCAAGGACTCTCCAACTCCCCATGTCCTGCCCATGCACAAGAAGCAGGGAGGGAACACGGCCAGAGCACCGGACCCAAATTGGCCAATGAAATATTCCATATCATGTAACATCATGCCCAGCATATAAAGGAGGAATGGTTGGTAAGGAGGCGGTTCTCTCTCACTTTTGGTATTGCAACAGCAGGATCTTGGTATTTCAACTATCACTAGCTGGGAACGGGCTGGGTATCAGTCAGTGGGTGGTGAGCAATCGCATTGTGCATTGCCCATTGGTATTTTCTATTATTGTTATTTTTTTTCCTATTTTATTACAACTATTAAAATGTTTATCTCAACCTAACAAGTCTCCCCTTACCTCTCCAATTCGCTCCCCAACCCCCAGGCAGGAAGGCAAGCAAGCAGCTGCATGGTGTTTGGCTACCAGTCGGATTTAAACCACAAACACTTTGAAACAAACTACTAATAAGCACCTCTGAAGAAAACCGCTTCTAGATCACAATAATATATTTGAGCAACATGACTTTAGAGCAAGAGTCACATAAACCAGGACAACCAAGGCAGAACAGTTCCTCTAACACTCAGTAAGAATATTCATCATCTCTCCATCTGTAACTGCATCCTACTAGAAGTAAAAAAAGTTAAACTATGTCTATCTATTAAAGGTCTCTGATGATCACCCTATTTTTTGTACATCTCAAAAGACAAGCAAACTTTGCAACGTCATACAGACTGCTTGGTATATTCATAAAGTTCATTATTACCTTCATTCTTGGTTTCACTATCATCAGGGTTACTTTCACTATCTGCTTCATATCCTTCCTCTTCAGCATAACTTCTAAGGCTACAGCACTGTGGTTCTTCAGTTTCTTCAGAAATATCTCCAGGTTGTGACACAGGTTCCTTTTCAGTGTAATGGGCCTGTACAACACATCAAGCAAATTTACCATCTTTGGTCAGAAAAACAAGTAATTGAAAACCTCCCAGATTACTATTTTCTCCAAGCCCACTGGCACAAGAAAAATTAATCATACACTTTCAAGAAACTGGAGATAAATAAAGAATGAAGGATTCTTAAAAAGTAAGAATAGATTCTGCAAAGATCGGGTTTTTTTACTAACTACTGACCAAAGCTTTGATAAGCAGGTGACCAATGCATTAAGAGTAAATGTGCTTCCAAACACCACTATCACCATAAACATGCACCTTGACAGTCACTCTAAGGTGAACATATGTCTGCAACCACCGAGGTCAGTCAATACACCTGTCTGAAACTCTCCCTTTCTAAGTCTTTCACACTCTCAAGAGTGAAAGAGTGAGGAAAATGTCAGGTTTCAGGTACATCCATAAAGCATAACACAGCTTGCTCCTTTTTGGAGCATGACTCATTTCTGAGAAGTGTATGGAGCATATCAATAACCAGCATTCAACTTACACACTTATATATGAGATTCAGATAATTAATCTTCAACAATCACTGTAACCAAGCACATTTAAACATGTCCCATCGAGTTTAAAAATAGTCCCAAACAACATAAACCTGACTGAGAAAACCTTGCAGGATTTGGAATTATACTACCGAGTTGGTGTTTCATACCTTTTCAATTTTTTCTTCAGAATGATCCAGATCAGCCGAAAAAGTGCCCAATGCAACACGAAGCAGTGAATCAAACAGAGGCTTTGCCAATTCAGTTTCTATCACTTTTGACTGAGCAAGCTGCTCTCTTATTTGAAGTAAGATATCATCCACACAGGTATTCTGTGTTTTAGGGAAGACAAACATTTTGATTCACGTTATTCTGTTTTGGCTAACAGAAAGAGTCTAGTGCTTTCATTTAAGAACTTCCTCTGCCACCTACACTAATCTGATTTCTCAGCTAAAAATCAAACTTTATCCAGTCTCTTGCAATAAAGAAGCATTCATGCTGTTTGTCATGAAGCGATTTAGTTGGTTAAGCAACCTGCACACTGCAAAAATCTGGCAATATGCTGTTTCCCAAGCATTGCAAGTGAAAGCACTGTTTCAAAAATAAACATCTCTGAAGCAGTTTCAAGTACACATCCAAACCACACCACATTAGAGGTTAATAAGACAAAAGGTGACTTGTCGAAGTTCACAAAAATAGCAAGTAGCCCAGACAGAACTCCAGCTTCCACTTCTCTCCCATACTTAATGTCTCCTGCTTTTGTAACAAACCGCTAAGTAAAATTCAGGATAGCAATTAAAACATTAAAGCACAGTGAAGGTGTCTTCTGTAAATTAACAACTTTTTGTGGAAAACTGAATTAGTTCACCTCTAAGGCTTAAGTAACAGTTTTCTCAGGTGCCCGTTCAGCACCTGTGCCCTCTAATACTCCTCCTTCTCAAGCACCATGCTCTGCTCAGAACTGTCATCAAAAACATGTGACTATGTATAACACTCATACCTTGCCTGCACAGCCCTCCTTCAATCTTACCTCTATGTCACACATTTTCCACTGAATACTCTTTAAAAAAAAAAAAAACAAAAAAAAAAGCAAAAAAAAAAAAAAAAAACACAAAAGAAAAAAAAAAAACAAACAAACAAAAAAAACCACCCAAGGAAAACCCCAAAGTCTCTCCCATCATTCCCGCCATTCAAAGCCTATCAACTCAGACAGACACTCTAGAGAACATGACACTGGACAAACAGACTACACAGGGGAAAAAAAAAAAAAAATGAACCGAAAAAGCAGGCCATAACTAACCAGAAAAAAATATAAGCAAGTCAGTCAGCAATTCACAGTTGTTGACATCCACTACTGCCTTTGTGGTGAGATGAAATAATTCCTTTCCTCTAGTCAGGACTATTTTATGCAAAAAAAGAAAAACAAAATATTAATCTGCCTAGATCAGTGTTCCCTGGGACTCAAAATACACTGATCCAGAAAACAGCATTTGATGTTGAGCTCAACCCTTAGCCATACTGACCATGCTAGCCCCAACTGTTATACATGAAAAATAAACCAGAAGCACAGTTCAAAAAGCAAGGTAAAAATCTCATCCAGCCTGGATTGATCTGCCACTCCAGAAGGCACTCTTGACCCCACACGAAGCAGGGAAGTGGCATGAACAGGAGTCCAACCCAAAAGAGAAGGCAAAGATCATGTTGGAGAACAAGAAAAGGGGTACAAGGTCTTTACCAGCATCTTACCAAATACAAAACGTGACAAGTTGACACATGGGGAGATGCCGCCTCAGTAACAGGAGCTGCCAGTTTATTCATCCACCCACTCCCAGTCTCTCATGCCTGCTGACCACTACCCAGCTATTAAGAACATCATCTACCTACATCTTTTCAGTTCTACACAAAAAATATGGTACCATAATAAAAGCATAAGCTTTTTTCAACTTTAAAAGAACTTTTGAATAAATTACTGTTAAAACAATACTGTACATAACAAACATAAGTAAAGTAAACTAAGGGAACTTGCACAGTACCTGGTGAAACATCTCCACTTCCATCTTCTGCTGCATGGTGCTTGCACCGTGCAGACAGATTGTTAGCAGAGCTTCTAGAAGTCTGATACCTTGAAGTGCCCACTCAGTCTCTTCTCTTACAGAAATCTTTATCCCTTCAAGATCAGCAACTGAAATAACTGAAGCGTGTTCCCTACCCAAAGAGCTGTCACAGGAGACACATTCAGACACCAGCTGTTCTTCACCAGCAAGACTGTCAGAACTATCAAGCTCCAATCGTGTCACCCCTCTGCTTCCACTCATTACTCTGTCCCTTTTTTCTTGCTCCTTTTCCTTACTTTTTGCAAGTTTCTGAATTATCAGAATTAGTAATCTATGGCATGCTTCAAAGCCTCCAAGTCTATAGAACTGTCTCTGGAAAACTGAACTATACAAATAGATGCAACGACACACGGACCAAATATCTGCAGCCCTGTGAATATTTTCCAGAGAGGGCAAAGTAAGGCTTTCCAGTGACAGATACGGCAATTTGCAGCCCAGTGGTTCACTAGCTGTACTATCATATCCTGATGTATCTTCAGAGTCATTAGCTGAATCCAGATCGACATCTGCTTCTTTACTTACACATAAAAAGGCAACACAGAGGAATAGGTTTATTGTGTTGATGTGAATGTCTTGGCTCACAAACTTTTTCTTTTTTGGGTAAGCCTCTTTCAAGCCAGCATAAAACTTGCTCAGGCTTTGAGGAACTTCTGAAACAGCATGCTGGCTACAAAGAGAAGCAGGCAAGCCAGATGTAGACTCCTTTTGTTCGCTGTTCAGGCCTTCCAGTTCTGGCATTGCTTGGTCTTTCTGCTGATCACCAAGGCAGAGTATCAAAGTCTCTAACACTTTTAAAGAATGGCTTCTTAAAGTGTCTAAGTAATTTAACTCAGTCATTTGATTTACTCCATTGCAACTCAGAAACAAGTATCTAATTACCCTGCAAGAGAAAGCATAAGAGTTACCTTATAAATCAGCCACAAATTCACACAGTTCAGATGACACATCTTATACAAAAGTAACCCTCTGTTCTACACACCTGAGTAACACCAAGGACTGATCATGTTTATGGTAATTGCTATAAATACTGTAAACTGTAAATTAAAGAGAAGAACTTGCTTGCAGTATTCTAGAATCCCAAGTAAGCATCATGCATCTGTTAGTAGAAAATTCAATTTTTTTGGTGAGATATAATTTATTAAACTCTAAAATGTAGTCCACAAAAATGTACCATGTTCAAAATATTAAAGGTGTTTAACTGTATTTATGACATTTGCTCTTAAGTGGTACTTCCTTCCTATAACTTTTTATTAGTGATTGGAGCTAGTAAATATCTTTACTTCTCTCCATTCTGTAACCTCACTAGAAAGCAGAGATTCCTTCTCAAACTTACAGTTTTAAGACATTTTACTAGCTACATCTATTAGTTGTGTGGACAATGTATTTCAGATAGAATTCAGGAATACCTTTCAAACAACTATTTGTGCAATTGCTATGCCAGGATAGCTAATGTTTAAAAACTTTTCAGTATATTTGTCTCCAAGTATACTTTTCCCTTCTTTCTACTCCAAGTATTATACTGAGTTCATATAGAAATTGGGGTAAGGATCTGTAAGCATCTTAGTGTACTCTGCTTGTAGACATCCTTACCCTCCCAACTCTTTCCCACAGGGTCAGCTTTTACTGTAACCGAGTTACACGCTCTAGAATCAAATGAATCATGTACTTATTTATATATTCCCATCTTTAAGCCAGTAGGAGATGGGAGAACTTAACTTTTTTCTTAATCTAAGCTTTACTTTTCTTGCCTCTTTGCCGCTAAGTGCACTTTCAAAAATTAATAGCTTCTGATACAGTTTATGTTAGGGTAAAAGTTACAAATGTGTTAGACAAGCCTTTACAGAATACTAGTCTGTTCTTTGTAATTGTCTTGGATAAACTCAAGTGAGCTCAGTAGGGTTATCAGGAGTCTAAAAGAAAAGATCAGAATCTTTCCTGGACAAAAGGACACATTCATATTCCGAATAAGCTTCCATATATTGTATTAAACAACTATTTCATCAATCCAACAACAAATAGGAAAGTTTCTGTTTCATGACTTGGAAGAATGTTTGTGGGTTGTTTTTTTTTTTCATTCAAAAAGCTATGTTTAAATGAACTTAATCTTGTAAATTATGAAATGGTTATTTCAGGACAAGTAAATCTCTCAAGCCTTATTTTTAAAAGGTGACTTATAAAGACCATTCTAGAAGAAGGGAAACAGATCAGAAAAATAAGTAGTCTAATTCCCACAAAAAAAAAGTCAATCTGTTCCACATTCCTGACTACTTTAGCATGTGGAATGAAAAGGCAAAGAGCCTTTTCTGTCACACAGAACAGATTTTTGTTTCTACATACTTTGGCTTGATAAAGACCATAACTCATCAGTAGAGAGCTCTCACTTTCAACGGTTTATGAACCTAGGATTACATCTTATGTTATTAAAGCATTTACCTTGTTGACACCCCTGCAATATCCAAGTGCTGCCTACAGTCCAAATAAAACCTACCTTCTGATCAGCTACAAATATACAAAGCTCTGTACTTAATTAGCATGTTTTCCATTAATAAACAGAAAATCAACCAACCTGGATTTAAGCAACACAGGGAGCGTCTGCAAATAAATCTGAAGTACTTCAGAAGGTAAACAGTGGCTATCGTAACTCCATGTGTGTGTATCAGCTGTAGTTAGTCTGAGTTGCTGAGCATGACAAGCTAGCTCAACCCCTCTCTGAAGCACGGTATTATAAATACAGTTATAGAGTTTCCATTGGACCACTGCATTTCCCTTTTGAATTAAGTGGCAAATATGGCTTGCAATCTGCATGCCACGTAGTTTGTCTTCTTCAAAAGCAATGTCCTGATAAGCTTCCAATGCATCCCATCTCAACAACATATCTTCAGATCCACTGCTAGGCAGAATTCCCTGAACTTTGCAAGAGGAACTAGATGTAAGACCAGCATCACTAGAGTTGCCCTGTAAGGCATCTTCCAGCTGAGCAAGTTGATCGCAGTCAACAGTACATATATTGCATGATGCCTGTATAATTTTTGGAGAAACTTCTGCTCCACCCAGCTGATCCAATATAAACTTGTTAAGGATGTTCAATATGTGTTGTTGAAAGTTTTTTAATACTGGTAACTTTGAAGCACGAAGCAATGGGACAATCACAGACTTTGGATCCATACAACAGCATATTCCTACATTATGTACACCCGAGAGAATTTGAACACAAGTACTGCTTAAAGCAACTTGTTGCAACAAGTGCAAACACTGGTGTGCACAAACAGCAATGCAACAGCATCTGTCAGGATAATGAACCTCTCCATCAGCAGTTTCAAAGGTTGTTTTGGAAGCCTGGTTTTTAAAAGCAGATACAGAGAGCCCAGAGAGATCTCTGTGGTGGTGCATGAAGTGAGAGTACTCACATCGTCTGTGTCGCTTTCTTGTACACATTGATTGATGGAGCTGCTCTGATTTCACTTTTTTGACAGTGCTAATTATTTTCATGATGCTGTTGATTAGGGATTTCAAATGTTCTGAGGCTTCCCCAGTTACTCCCTCATTCTTCATACACAGCCATTCCATCTGAAGCACTGTTGCTTCAAACAGCTTAAATCCCTGATGCTGTATGAACTCATGAACCAAATCTATAGCTTGGCTAAAGTAGAATGGATTGGAGGCTGCACGTTGTAGGCAGCATATCAAAATCCGTAAGACCCCTTCTATAACCTCAGGTAGAAGCAAGGCTCTGTGACGATATTTAGAAAATACATAGTCATCCTGAACCAGCTGCTGTAGTGTTTTCTTGTATCCTGGAGCAAAAGGATCAGGTTGCTTTTCCAAGAATATTCTGATTTTTAATGCTGCTTTAAGTAAGTCTGTTAAATTTCTTCGTAAATTCTCAGGCATTGTTTCTGTATTGCTAATGTCTAAAGACATAAGATGCAGCACTGTTCGAAAGAGCATCCTTTGGATCAGAGCCACAGGTTCTTCTGTCCACCCTGCAGAAACTACTTCATTTTCTGTGTTACTACTTACATGGCAACAGTCTCCAAATCCTGATAAGAACTCAGTCAATGTGGGCACCACACTAGCTGAAAGAGTAGAACCATGATTCAAAGTATCAAATTTGCACACCTTCTCTAGGAGAGACAGTAAGACATGGCATAAGTCAAAAGGAGAATTATTCATGTTGCTCTCAGCAATTCCTGCAGCTGGCTCATTCAAAATCTCTGGGTTTTGCTCATATACTGGAATAATTTTGCTGGAATTTTCTGGATTTGGGGCATCAGGATTAGAATTTGGTACCGCTTCTGCAGGTAGGCAATCACTTCTACCTACCAGGTAGCTGTCCCTAACTGGGTATGTTAAAAAAGGCTGCAGTAACTGGAAGCGTTTCTGTTTCATTATCACAGTAGTCTTGTCATCAGAATTGCCTTCTGACTCTGAAGTGGACAGCTGAGATCTTCTTGCATCTCGCACAAAATAATGATGGGTGGTTTTGCGCAGACGTCCACTTTTTCGAGATCGAGGATTTAGTTTTACAGAAGTCTGAAGAGATGAACGAGTGCTTCCACCTAAGCCTAGTTTTTCCTGAGTAGATTTCACAGAGCTTGAATTATTCTCTTTGGTCAGACATATGTCTACTGTAAAGGGTATATGAAAATCTGTTCAAACAGAGATAACAAAGGAACATGAAAGACACATTAAGGAACATTATAATACATAAAGCATTTTTCCTAATTTTATAGTTTAATACTTCCAGCTTAATAATATGAAACAATAAATCATGGTTTTGCATATACCTATGTCTGACATTTTCAGTAGAAAAGAGTCAGCAACAATTCATGTTTAGGAATCATACTGGCTATTTTCAAAGCCTAGAAAAATTAGGTCATTTTCTAACAAGGGTTAGATAAAAACATGCGAGAGGGTTTCCTAAAATGTTTTTGTAGGCGTAGTTATTCCATTCTCTTAATATTTTTTTCTTATCAAGGTAGATGAAAGGACTTTTTGATAAGCAAAAGGAAGAAAGCCTAGTCTGAAAATAGTTTTGCCTACTACAGACAGGATAAAGGAAAAATATAGCCACAAGCCTCTAGTTATATTAAATTTAGATTTGGGTAAGTTAGACATACTAATACAGTAGAAGTAAAATATCAATCAGCAGGATACCATCTTTGAGGTGTCCTCTGTTACTTAGCTATGGAAGCAGTTTTAGGCAGTTACTCGGGCAATATTTACTTCGTGTATACCATTTGATTTATTTGAAATCTCACTATAAGCATTGCCAAACAGACCTATCCCACAACAAGAAGAAAAATTCTAAGGAGAGGAAAAAAGGCCTTTTTCAACTTGATGACCTGTTGTCCCTTTTTGCAACTCAGCTGCTATAGGAACTCAGTCCTCTTAGAATGCACGAAGAAATTGTTAGCATACTAATGGTAACTGAAAAAAATAGATTTCTCTACTTAGAAACAGTGCAGATCTTCACATATACAGACCTCAGTCTATTTCAATGTTGTTCCAAACACAAAAAGCAGAAATAAAAGTAGTGGATTTTAAAATAGTCAGGGACAAGAGGGATATGGAAAAGAATAATGTTTAAGGTGCTGAATGTTCCCACAAAAGACAAAAAAATATTTTCAAGTATGCAGTGTATAATAGCAAATATAAAATTTAAATTTGATTCAATGGGCAAGAAGATTTTGATGAATAAAATGCAAGTACTACCAGTTCATTAGTGTTAGTAAACTCAGATCATAAACTGTCAAAAAAGCAGGCAGAGAAAAAAACTCTGTACGTTCTTGGATAAAAATCTATCACCATTTTTAAGCAGTGACAGAACTCTGTCTGGATGCTTTGATCAGTAAAATACCTAGCGTAAAAGAACTGCAAGCATATACCATCCAGTAAGTTCAGTATTAAGAAAAATGTGATCGTTAGTAACAGTCCCCACCCCCATAAAACCCCCAAAGCCCATGCAATAGCTACAATCATTAATCAAACTGAAAGAAAAGATGCTTCTATATGCAGGCATGACTGTGCCTTGCTGTTTCATAAAGTCGTAATAGTGATGCTTAAGGAAGAAGTAGCATCTGTTTTCGAGGGAAGAAATTAACCACGTGTACTTTATCAAACATAGGGTATTTCCTGCATAGAAAAAAAAAAGCTGCCTAATACAGGAGGATTTATTTCAGTCCAAGGATAAAAAAAAAAAAGGAAGAGTGCACAATTGGATACATGGTGTTTATGCATCAGTACTATGAGAGGCAAATTTGTAGAAGTAAAAACTGTACATTATGCAGAGTGCAAAACCAGTTTTACACAACAACCAGTTTTACACCTATTTACACAGCAACATTTTAAGCTAAACCTGCAAAAGTCAAAGCTCTCAAGACAACACAAATGTTTCTTGAATTCAGTCATGCTTACAAGAGCATGAAAGAATGATGCAACTGAGCAAGCAGGAAAGTTTATTGTATAATAGCACTGTGAAACTGGCACTTTAAATACGCCAAGTCTACAAACATTAACAAAAGCCTCTGATTTGCAGGAGTTCTCAATAGCGAAAAACACTAGCAGAGTTTCAGGTAAGATTCTTTAGGAACTCTTAGTCAGGTAACATCATTTGTTTCATCCTCTGTTGTTTTATCCTTTAAGAGGGAAAAGAATGCATCAGACAAATGCAAGAGCCCAAAATTATTTAAAAAAAAAAAAAAAACACAACACAAAAATTGCTGCCATTTCCTGGTTCCGTTTTTGCAGAAAGTTTATTTCGTATCATCCCTTTCATTTCTTTAATTTACTTTAAACTGACTCTTTGGCAGTTGAACCCTTTGATTTGACTCTTCAATTAGCACATCAGTTTGACACAGAACATATTTGCTAAGGAATGCAGCCTGGTCCTGTTCATAATCACACAGTATTATTCTAGTTTTCAGGGCCTGCCTCTGTGATGACATTGCACTGCTTTCACTGTTCGGCTTTATGCTTATTCTCTATTTCCCATTTCTTCAATTTCAGAAGAAAAAGTCTGTCTCATTCTGTCTGATCAATCTAATGTCAGCACATATCACTTTTCTGTTTTTAAAAAGAATTAGTATTTGTTCCACTTCTACTCATCATGAAACAATTCACATTAGCAAAAATATCATATATTCTTTTACATATATTTTCCCCCAAATAACCCAAAAGGAAGAAAAAAATCTCAAAGTTCAGCTACAATGTGAGCATTGTCTTTCACACTGACCAAGAGCCTTTACCTTCTCGGTACAATTTCAGTCTTCCTTGTGTGGTGAAAATACATTGGTATTTTCAAGTTTAAATTCTCTGCAGAACCACATCTTCATTTTATGTTAAGATGATACGTATTACAGTGAATTAATACTCTTTAGTCAGGAGTCCTAGGCTCTGTAGTAATATACAAATCACTTCTCTTAGGTCCTTAATACTCTAAGTGGTAAATCATACCTATTGCTTTTTCTTCTTGGACAGGGATTTTCCACACCAATGGCAGAAGTGACAGGAGGAGGGTCAGAAGTTCTTCCCTACATGTCAGCTCCTATGTTAGAAACAGAACAGAAACAAAAGTTTTTGCACTTTTAAAGAAACCAGACTAACCTTCTTTATTTTACAAAGCTATTCAACGTTCAGTTCCCCATGACTTTATGCTGGTTTATGCATTGCAAAAGTGATCTAACTGCAAGAGTGCTATAATCATAGAGCCAATCAGAAAGATGTGTGTTACACCTCTGCAACCGCTCCTATACAAAGGTCTCCTAATCCTCCCAACTGATGAAATTCCTCACCCAAAGAACAAAAACAGAGAAGTCAAAAGCAAATAACTTGTTGATATAAACAAAGCCAACATGAAGCCCAAGACAAGTTTGAAACATCTGTAGTTACGAAAATGTAATTTTGAAGAAATTTATGGGAAGCTCTCTATTTTCTCCAAAATTATACCTTTAAGCAAATGAAAAAGCTTACATTTATCAAGTGATGTTATTGACTCACAATGGAAAGGTGAAGTTTTATGGGAGAAAAGAGAAAAGGTTACTCCTAGTTAAAAAAAAAAAAAAAAAAAAACACAAAACAGAATAACCACTAAATCCCCCTCACTCCTACTGGCATTCTAAAACTGCAACAGTAAGAATTTCAATCTAGACAGGAGAAGTAGAAGGCACAGAATTCAAACAAAATTCCTTTACTGGGTGCTATGCAGCATTATCAGAACAGTTTCAATCCTAAAGATCGAAAATTTTCAAAAAAAAAAAAAGTTGTCTTGAGCATTTTGGTAGTTAACATCATCCAGGGATATACAGCTGAAGCAACATACTTCTCCAAAAAGTCAAGGTAGCAATGAAATTAAAATGTATGGAGATAAGCAACTTAGAGTTACAGAGAGTTTTATATATATAGTTCTAGAACTATCTAATAGTTAATTTGTCTGATAAGACTATCAATTTCAATGAAAATTTAAAAACCCCTAAAACTACCGATGCAATACAATTAGACCTGAAAACTAAGATTTTTCAACGTCATTCTCACAACTATTTTCTCCTACTAAAGGTACTGTGAGCAAGACAAGTTAATTTGGAATAGGAATTAGCAATACAACATTCAAAGCACAGTAGTAAGACTGGAAAAAGCAAAACATTAACTTTTCTAATTTCAGTGATACACTTCCAGAATTTTACTTCTCATTAATCAAGTTCCTCTTCCCCTGTCTTCTTAAAAAAATATATATTTCTTCAGGAAATAATTGCTGAATTGCTGACGTTTCATGGAGAACACCACAAGCTCTTTTCTCATCCTTCTCCAAAGTGGATTTTTATTGGAGGGGAAGCACACAGAATGCCCCATGTTCTACTTCCACAAAAGCCAGCTGTTTTTCCAGCAGTTCTCATCCTGAAGACTCTATTAACAGCAACTATGCAGAACTCGAGTGACAACTGAAAAAACTGCAGTTGTAGAAGCGGTAATGATTGTTCTTAGCAATTATATATAATCCAATCTTGTGGGTTTACTGTTTAGACAGTGCACCTCCTGGAATCCAGAACCAAGGCAGAAGACCTCACTGGAGTCTTAGCACTAGTCACCTCATGAAGGAAATGAAAGCCTCCAAGATTTATTTCACCAGCATTAACAAACAGCTGACCTCACATAGGACAAGGGGTGAATAAACTCAGTCCAGATTCACTTGGTTCATTATTTTTAAACACCTAGATCTCCAGTTTCAATGCAGAAATACTTAATGCACATCTCATCCTACCCATTGCTTAGTACATCCAATAGTATTGAAGAGGAAGGAGAAGAGAAAGAATGAAATGGGTATCTGCAGCTACAAGGATGTGTGCTAGTCTTTATATAAAAGAAGAGTATAAACTGATCACCTCTTCTAAAATGCTTTCTCTTTTGAGCTGAAGTTACAAAATATTTACTTTTTATTATGTTCAAGAGCAAGTTACTTAACACAAGGCAAAAATATTTCTCATGGCCTGGAAATAAAATAAAATAAAAAGGTGTATATTTAAATTTTATTTTATTGCCTTAAACCAGGTAGACCTTCTCAAATTAAAAACTGTCAATTTGTACTGCAGGTTCAGTAAACACCAATTTCTCTCAAAAATTCTAATCTATTGCTGCTCTCCACCCAGCTACTGTACTTGAGCTTCACACACACTTGAGCCTTAACTAGTCAAAAGTTTAGCAATCATCAGTATCAGCTAGCAAACAGGTATATGATTAGCTATTTTTAATTTTTCTTTTGTTGCTGAAGGACAGAATGCAACTGAAACATATCCTTTTGAATTTCTAGTCTTCAGAGTTAACTCATACACTCTACCATAGAAAGGCAAGAAACCAGCATCGAGAAAAACGAGCCAGACAAATCCATACAGTCAAAGCTCGATACAAAAATTATAGCTGGGTAAGAAAAAACTTACCTGATCAATAGTAGAGTTCAGTGTGGTAAGCAAAATAAACCCACGGCCTTGAACCAAGTATTGTCCCAGTGCTGCCATATGAGTTTCTTCTTCTTCATCTTCCTTGGCCTCTGCCCTCTGGACCACTGCATTGCACAGTCTGTTGACATCCGTCAAGAATTCTCGTGCCAGTGAGTTACTGGCACTGCTCATGTCTGAGCTGTAAGTAAAGTACAGAAATTAAATCTATCAGAAAACACACTCCTTATGGAAAAATGACTGGGGGAAATAGAGGAGTGTTTCCTCCCTGTAACCCTTCCTCCCCCCCACCAAAGGATGAAGTGTCTGTAGGATTGAGGAATCAACATACCAATGTAGGGTAGAAGGGAGTGAGAAGTATGACCTTAGAGAATTTCATTTATTTCTGTGAAACTTTAGCTAACAGCCTATGACCCCAAACACTCATTTTATAAATCTATCAGGTGGAAGACCATGACATACAGCATTCTCTCCCACTGCATAAACGAAAGCTAGTGACTTCCTTTCAGCTTTCTGTAACCTAGATGTGAGCTTTAATCTTCGTCTGCTTCTAAATGGTACTGGAGCTGAAGCATTAGGGGAAAACAGGCAGCTCTTACACAGCATTGTACAGAAAACATGTTCCTTAATAGTTTATTTGAATACATTATCTTCTACCCTGTTATGTATTCCAACAGTATGCAGACTGTGTGAAGGGGAAAAAAGAAAAAGCTAAAGATAAATATGGGAATTTCACAAATAAAATGCTTTAGAGTTACCAGCCCTCAAGGTGTTTTCCTTCAAGTAAGGCGGAGTGAGTGATAGTCACTACTATAGTGTGATTAACTCAAAGTACAATCCTGATTGTATGTGTTCAGGAGAAAATACAAAAACTGGTTCCCAAACTGATTAATTTTACTTTAGATAATGAACACAAGGCACTCATACACCTTGTCTATTAATTCTATCTTATAAAAGACTTTCATATCATACATGGTCAGCACTAGTACATGTGGAAAAGTTTAAAACAAAAACAAACAAGACCAAAGAGATCATAGAGTCAGCTGTAGAAAACTATCAAGATGATCACTGAAGACCAAACAAAAACAAGAATCAGTGATGGCAACTATATAAGCAAGAACATTTAACCCACATAAAACCCACTTAAATACTACAGCATATTTAACTCTATGTCTTTATAAACAGCTGAAGTAACATCTTCAAAACTGAAATATTTTCATCATGTCCAAGCATAGAACGTGCAAGAGACAAGTAACTTTCAATATATTTAAATATAACAGGTGGGTTAATACTTCTCGATCAAGAAACATTTACACACAATTATTGAATCAAAATAAGACCTTGTAAGTAAGAGCAAGTTTGTTAGCATCAGCAAAAGCTCCTTTTAGTGGCAAGACTAAGTACCTACACATATGACATTCTCTGTAGGAGTAACAGGAAGATTCTTACCAGAATTACTTGGACAATTTAACACATTTATCTTCTTTTTGGAAGAAAAAGTAAATTATACTCTGGAAATACCACCCTTGGTTCACCTGTTTTTTAAAAAAAAAAAAAAAAAACACATAATGATTCTTATGCAATTTCTTTGTTTTTAAAATACATTTTTTGATAGGTATTTGAAGTTTAAGAGTCCTTGAAGGGGGGGATTTTTGAGCTTTAAAAGCTCCAGTTTTCCTTTTTAAGATTTTGATTCAGCACAACTAAATTCCTATTGCAGAGAAAGTAATTCGTGCATGTAAGGTAGCATAATAAAGTTCACTAGTTTTTTTAATGTAAAATATGTGTGCAAATTTAAACATTTCTCTCTAGAAACAGTATGAATATTTAGTGATCACTACCCGCATACATAATACTTGAAGCACTTGCAGCTCTGGGTACAAGTGATGGATAGTATGAAAAACTGAATCGTGTAGTCAGGTACTGATATAAATACATTTTAAACCTGTTCTCTTTTGTCCTGACAGATAGCCAATCTTTATTACCTTTAAGACTGAGGAAGCTCTAATTAATAAAATTGGAAAGGAACAGCATTGTATTTGCTCTGTACAGTCCACTAAAACAATTCGTTATTTCTCTACTAACCCTTTAACCCCCTCCAGTCCTAACAGAGGATCAGAACAGGCAATGCTTTTTTTTCCCCACCCAAGAAGAATGTTTTAAGCTACATTGTTTCGAGATGTAATTAGTAATGAATAAAAGACTAAGATAATAGGGAGAAGTAATCTCCCAATTTACTTCAAAATGGCCAAAAATAGAAAGACAGTTACCCCCCAGTACATGCTTTGGCAAAAAAGTCAAAGCAACACAACACATACACCAGCCCTGGCTCAGTGAGCTCTGCACAAGGGGCAAAAAGATTCTGTAACTTCTATAACTCAAGGAAAACAATAGCTATAGAGAGTGTGCATTCATAAACCCTCAACATCCCCTATTCCTTGCTGTAAGACAAACAGTCAAAGGGTTTTTCATTTGATAACTTCAAGTTTCTACTTATCACACTTCCCCTCATATCTCTATAGTGTATTCAATCTAAGAAAAATTAAAAAACCAGCACATTCTAATCCTCCTGAGATACTTTTATTTACTTAAACAAGACTGAAAAGCTCCTTAAACATGCTTTAAATTCTGATGTATGATTTCATCTGACTGCTTGAATACTTCCTCTGCTGTTTCCTAGAAGAGAGATACTAACAATTGCAGAGACAATGTTTATTTCTGCAACCTCTCAGTATTTTTTTTGCTATAATTTTCAAATCTTGACCAAGTGCTAATTATTTAGCCATTTAACAGTAACAGGACTCCTTACTAGTCGTCTTCATAGTTAACATCAATTTTTTAAACTAGTGTTAGAATATTTGCGTTTGGTGCCATTGAGTACATTTGAACTAAGCCCAGGTTCAAACAAGGCCCTAAAATTCTCAGAAGTTCATTCCACTGACACATGTGGCATATACAGAGATGAAGTGTCCAAACACACTCTTAATGAAACGTTCACAAATTGGGGTGCTCCAGTTGCAAGCTAGTCTAAATGTTAAATCCTCATTCTCTAGACATGGTAAAGAACCACAAATACATTTGCTCTCAATGGGAATGCAAAGGGTTGTAACCATGAAAAGCCTCAAGCATTTAACTACAAAGGTCTCTAGGTGAATGCTCATCCACAATTAATTGTGGGGAGAAAATAAAAAAGATAGGGACAGGAAGAGAGAAAGAAAAATACTAAATTCATTATTTTGGTATTCTCTGGTGACAAAGAAAAGCTTCAACTCAAAACTTAAAATTGTGACAAGCATGAGCATTAAATGAAAGACCACCATTACATGAAAGGAAGGAAATACTATAGGTTCCCCAGGCAAGCTCCTAATAATTGGCTCCCCTTTGAGAGCTTGGAAACAACATGTATCATCCACAGAGCTCCATATAGCTAACATTCACAATTCATTGCAACTGAATAGCTTAAGCATCTAGCTGTTTTGCAGTGGTACCGGACTTTAGAGTATGTAAAACTATGCTGTCCATCATGTTTTAGTCTCCTTCCACATGGAACTTCAGTCTCCAGGTTTCCTGCACTGCTTGCACTGTTACAGGGATTTAACAAACATTGCCACATTCTAGCAAAGGGGTAAATTCTCAATGTCAGTGGTAAGATAAAGTGCTATTTTGTTGACGCTAATGTGAAAAGACATCAAGCATGTCTTCTTAATGCAAGAATTTAATACATAATTGGTAAGGTATTAAGATGCTCTCACGCTACAGCGAGGAAAAAAAAAAACGTAGTAAGATATCATAACAGATAATGAAGCGCTTTTAAAAGGATTTGTTCCAACAAGTGCTAGCTACTTCTCAGTTGTACCTATTTCTTCTTCTGCAATTAAGTTCTGAAACAGACTGACAGTACAAACATGCCTTTGGAAACAGTTTCAGAGATAACCTCATTATTCATCCCATCCTGAAGCTAGAGACAAACAACAATACAAAGGAGAACTGAGAAATAATTAAGCTTCCAAAAAAAGCTGCATATGCACAGACAACCTTCTTGCCTTTCACATTTGTTTCCTGACAAAATTTGAGCATTAAAGGACATTGCTTTTCAAAGATCAACTCAGTGAACAACTTGCTGCTGATGCTGTAACATAGCAAACACTGCAGAGGTGGGTTTGCTTTTTTGGGGGTGGTGGTGGGGTGTTGTTTTTTTTAAAAAAACAAAAAATCCACCCCCAATCTAAGGTTTCAGCTTGCTTGTCACTTTCTTTTTCTGTTGCAGATTGTGGTACACTGATACTACCTCCCACACAGCACAGCATTTCATCTTACTCTGAGAAAGTATGCCAACCAATTTGCTTTAAGTAGTAACTCCTTTACTGCAGAATTTTTCTTTTGTTTAAAGTAACACATCTTTCATTTCTGTGGTACCTGGTAATATGGAAGCAGATGCTGTACAAAACACACCTGTGCTGATGTAGAGTGCCTTAACCTGTATTTGGACTTTAGGGATGTCATCTTAACTATGAAAAAAAAAAAAAAAAAAAAAAAAAAAAAAACCACACACAAACCAAACCACAACACAACAAAAACTGAAATAAACACATTAACTAAGACATAAGAGAGCAGAAGGAAACCTACCAGAATCTCAGTTCACCACTGCTGTGTACAATCCCAATGGGATGGTTACAGTTTTGGAATATCCTGTGTCAGGACTTCAGATAGCTAGCCCTGAAAAAAATTCATATTTTTAAACTGCATTTTACCCTCTAGAAGAATACTATCATCATATTTCACAAAAACCACCTCAAACATAGTATTTACTTCTAAAAGGAAAAGATCCACAAGCTTTAAAAAGAATAAATCACTTAAACATCAATTATGTGACATTCGCATATAATCTGCCCTCTTCATGACCATCTTTATCATCCTCAATTCAATTCATATCACACCCGCCCTCTGGCCCCTTTCTCCACCAGCTCTAAGGACTTGTTTTCTATTTGCTTTTGTGCTATAAATCCATTTTCTGCACTTGAAACTTGTTTTTTCTCTGGATTTCTTTCCATTTTCATGAAGTTGCTCATCATCTGGGCATCTTTAAGTACAGGAATGCCTTGCACTTACTTCAGTGAACTTGCAGTCTTCAAAAGAAAATACCAAAACTATTCTTTAAATAATTTAAATGATGGAACTTAGAAGGCCCATTTAGCAGTCTTAGATACTGAATAATGAATATACTAACTCTATATAGTGGTAGTGATTAGATTGTATTATCTCTAACATCAGTGCAAATTGAGGAAGGAAGAAAATGCAACAAAATCTTTATGTAAGCATTAGTACTGCATATGAGGGTGAACTGGGCCTTTTACTTGGTTATGTTTTCAGTAATGCAGTGCCCAGAAAGGCCTGAAATGACCAGTAATACAATTAACAGTAGTAATTACTAAATCACTACAGCAGCATTATAATAAAATACAGTACTAAACCAAATGAAGTTAAAATGCCAGAATACCAATTTAAATTGTTACTTTCAGTAACTATTGTCCAACAGCTACAGCAAAAGTAGAAGAGAGGCAGAAAGTCTGGTGGTGGTCTCCAGTTCATACAACAGCCCAAATTAGTGCTCTAATAAGCCTACCTCCCCACAGCCTTTTTAAGTTTTTTTTTTAAAAAAAACAATTTTATAGTACTAGTAAAAAAGGAACTACCTAAACTGCCTCTATTTGTTGTCAATTAAATGTCAAATTTCTTCAAATTGCTCATTAGTAAATAGTTATATCAGTTTAATATGACCATGCTACTGAGGGCTGCATAGTCAGGCTTGAGTGCCCCAGTAAAACAAAGTGATAATCTAACTAATGTATGCATGGCACACACCAGCCACTGGCAAACCTTAATTTCCCAAGCTCACTTATCTTCAATAAAAGCAGTCTTGACTACCAGGTTATATGAGTATCTTACTGCACTAACAGAATGACAGCTATACTCATAAGAAAAAAAACTTACAAGAAGCTATTTTACAGCTCCTGCAAAGAGGAGTAGAGAATGTGTATCTACATTAAGTTAATTTATTTACCTTCTCTAGTTTTCTGTTTCAGGTAAAAGACAAATGTTAACCAGGCATGGCATGACTGCAAGTCCTTTTGAGTACAGAGTACAATGCAGTTGCATTTTCATTAAAATTAACACTTTAGAAAAAATGTAATTTCTATAAGCCATTGTACAATACAATTTATTTCCAGTCTCTAATTCAAGACTGGAAACCCTTTTATCTGTTCTCCAGAATAAAGTATATGGGAATACGAGTCACCATTGGCCAATAAACGCTGCATTTACTTTATACAGTATTCATTCCATTTAGCAATTACTTGTCTCGGCCTCATTGCTTGTACTTAACATTTAAGCTCTGGAGAACATGCTTGTGACCTCTTCAATGATTCTAACATTATAAAGTCATTGTTGATCAGATTTACTTTGGGGTTAAACTTTCAATTTAAGCTCAAGCTCCTGTTAACAGAGGACAACAGGCATAATGAAGAGCACCGGCATATTATTAACACTAAAAACAATAACAGGTTTTTGCAATTGTAGCATAGATTTGCAGGTTTATTACAGAAACTAAGTTTATCTTGTTAGTAGCACACACCAAATTTGACTGCCCTCTGTTTTAAAAAAAAATGGTTAACAATAAAACCAAGGGAATAGTACAATTAATTCCTCTACAAACTGGAGAAGAAAAATAAAGCAGAGCGTGAGACTGTGCAATAGAGAAATACATATCTAGGATGGCTTGGAACAAAACTGGAACACATCCTACAGTGCTGCCTCAAGGTCTGTACTTGGTGGTAAAACGCAAGTAAAGCCTCAAACTAACACATCACTGAAATCGGTGTTCATCCTTTTCTGTTCTTTTGATATAATTCAAAACTTTAAACAGGCTAGAAAAATACCCAGCTGACACTGTCAAAATAGGTTACACAGCAGGAGCAACACACAACCTTTTAAGAAATAAGGAACCTGCAACTCAAGCAGAGCATCAACAGAAAGCCCGAGACACTTTGATGCCTTGTTTTACCAATGCAAGGCAATCAGCAAAAAGCATGGTTTATAAAAGGGAGTGAACATTTGCTAAGCATCCAACAACTCTGTTATTCAAAAATATGAGCAAACAAAAGCAAAAACAGGACACTTCAGGTTTGGTTCATTCTCAAAACAGATATACCAGACAACACTCCAGCTCTGCACAACTCCTAACTTTATTTCCAACCACTTTTTGCACCATACTTTGCTATTATTTATTAACTACTTGGGGTTACAGAAGCAGACAACCTATTAAAATGTAGTAGGGCAGTATTGCTCCAGCCATTAGGTCGCACATGAAAAGCAACCTCTTAACATACAGAATTTATCATAAGACCATAGGTAGATGTCAATTTTCTTGGTACAGTTCTACTTCTGACAAAGTCCTTGATTTCATCAAGGAGTTCAGTAACTAGCGTTTAGTCTGTGTAATCCACTATATCAATATTATTTCCAAACAAGTTAATCAGAGCCTGTCTCCCTAGAATAAAGAAACAGGTGAAAAAAAAATGCTTAGTACTTTTGGATAACACTTGTACTGTCCTTTTAACTAATAAAGGAAAAGTATGTCAGGTTTACAATATAGTAAACAAGTATTATTTTAATGAACACTGAAAAGTATATTGAGACCTTGAGACCTTCGGAGCAACAGTGTTGCTGTATACACAAGTGTGTTTATGTATGTATAAACTTAATGCCACTTTTATGTAAAAATCAAAAGTATAACTCACACCTCACCTGCGTGGGACGCTTGTCCTGCAATAAACAAAGTCTGAAAGGTCTGCTCTACAAGTATCTTAAGCTTCCCATAAGTATGTAGTCTACTTTTTTTTAATACCTGGGCAGAAGAACATAATTTAATCCATGAAGCTCAGCATTTATACAGCCAGAGAATTAGAAAATTTCTATCTCTAAGTAGACAGATGTGAAAGCATTATATCTTACACTTAAAAACAAAATTTTAAGGAATAATAGTATCTGTGCTTGCTGAAAAAAAATAGTCCTTAAAGAAACAGAAACACTCATTTTCAAATTGTGTATGATCAGGAAACACTGATGTGGACGCCTAAGCTAGCCACTCCTGGTGTAGAATAGGAACACCAAGGAAAAAAACAAACAAAACCAGACAAATGCTATGCTAGATTCAGCCAAATTAAATAAACAGGCACTTCCCAAAACATCTATCAGATATATATAAACAAGTAATTAGCAAACATATCCAAGGCTACAGACACCTAGAGACACAAAGTGGCATTACATGTACAGGCAAGTCAACTTCTGAGAAACAGCTTCAGAGATGTCACTCTTCTGATTGAGACCCAGAGCTGTGGTGCATCACACAATGTGAGGTAAGTGGAAAAAAAACAAAAGAACCACCAAACCCTTCCTTACACCCAAATTATCATTTGCCATGTATTTTCAGGGCCTCAGTGGTTTTCTGACAGTTAGAAATGAAACTCATGGGTAATTTCTTTGGGCACAAGGTTTGTTCCAGACTACACTTCCCAAACCTGGCCAGTATATTTTTTTGAAGGCAACTTAAAATGTATTTGCTAGAGTTTAATCTGTTTCTGGTGATATAGTCTGACTCATAAGTGTTTAAGTCTGCTTCCCAACATGACTATTTCTAGAATCTCACTTTTCCCTAGCATTGGTAACAACAACTCTGAGCACGTGATAGAAGTACAACTCAGAAAGGTATAACAGATTAAGAAATATACAATATTCTTGTCTACATACAACTAAAAAATACATCCCATTTACTTACAATTCAGTTTTCCTGTTCAACAGTTTCCAGAGCATGATCTTAGAGCATTAGTTCCATTAAATGAACTCTGATTTACATCTCTAGTGTTTCCACTGCATACCGTCATTTCATTATTCTGTGTATCTGACAGATGTCAGTCCCTTAAACAGAAAACCTACTAATGGCCCTGAAACATGTAAGATTGTCGTACAAGGCCAATGGAGACTCTCAACTCAAAAGAGTGATTTTCTAACTTATTAGCTGCCACTGACTATAAAAAGACTGTAACTAGTAGCAGTGCACAGGTGACTGGAAACCAAGGCAAGGACAACACTAAGATATAATAAGGTGCATTAAAAAGGTTGACCAAACACAGACTACCAAAACCAGAAGAAAGACCTTGGCAAGGCAAGAGCAAGTGATGCAGGATCTGAGCACCACAAAAGGAAGCCAGCTCACATCCAGACTAACTGCAGATTTTTCTACATAAGCAATGCAGAGATCTACAAATAAAGCTGAGCATACACAGTTTGCATGATGTTTCAGACATTTGTAATTCCAAAGGTTAAAACTGAAACCATTATGATTATAATGGATATTCTACTTCTGACACCTGTTGTGATGAAGCTACTGGCGAAACTTACAGCTTCAGCAACAGTCCTAGCCTACCAGGGCCTCACACTTCAGGGAGAGAATACACAGCAAAATCTGTACTAGAGTATGGTAGAGGCCAAACTACATATTACTCAAACCCAGCAAGCTTTAAAGATTGAGAGCACTAACACCCCTTTCTCATCCTAGCTCCTCTTGAGCGTTAGTTGTCTTTACCTGCACCACACCTGCAACGTAATATATTCTGGAACACGGACAGCAGTTTTCCATGACTTACGTGAAACCCCTAGTA